AACAACAAATTCAGAACTAATTGTAGTGGTTGAAGAAGCTGTAATAACCGGTTTAATGATAATAGCTGACGCCCATGACGTTCTGATTAGAATCAGCAACGATAAAATGCGTAATAACATTGTAAGTCGATGTGGAATTCAAATGCATTGTCAAAAAAAAAATTCAATCAGGATCTATAGCTAAATATGATGTATCTTTTACTGTATGGCTCGGAGCTAGGTTAAAGACAGTGGAGAATGAAAAGGTGGTGGTTAGGACACAATATGAGACAACAAAAAAATAACATCACGGGGAAAGAGGAAGATAAAAAGACGAAATAAGTTCTGAAGGTAATCGTTTGAAATAGAGAAGGGGGAGGGTGGATTATTAGGGTACGATCTTCATAAAAATCAAGAGAGTTGACGAAGTGTTGATTACGCCTATGTTCCTTATGAAGCCGAAACGAATTAACAGAAGAAAATCAAAAGAGTTTAGAATAGTGGGTTCCATCGAACCCGAGAGGTTCGGTAATTCAGTCTCAGGGTTTCCGCGGAGGTCAAGACACACACCCGACTCAAATGATTCACGATCTGATTTTTTTCTGTGTGGAAGATAAAACTATCAGTTAGGTTGACCAAAGTGTTATGAAAAAATGAATTAAAAAATGATCTATTCAGTACAATATACTACTTTTCTTCTCTCATAAAATTTTGGCAAAGAGTGTCGCTTTCCACCACCCCCTCCACCGTCTGCTATTTTACGGATAGCGATACAAGAATCCGTGATATTTATCTCTCTTTAATGAAGTGATCCAGTTAAGATGTAACGCAATCAAGTAAAAGTATCTGATCTATCACGATGAAGTTGAGAGAATCGTACAAAGAACTAGTCGCGTTATTACTTAGCAAAACTGGGTAGTGAAATCATACATTAAGTGTTAATACAATTGGTTTCTTTTCTAAGTGTTAAAAGAGCTATCTAGTCTCCGATCCAGTACAAATCCTGCGGTTTTTTGTTGGTGAAAAAGCGCCCCCCCCACCCCCCACCATCTTGGACACAAATGGTAGAGCGGATTTTAAACGTCACTAACTCTTTTTTTATGTTACACAATCGTAAAATACTCTTTAGTACAATGGGTTTCTTTTCTGAGTGATATCGGTTATTTATTCCTTAATCCGGTGTGATATTTTTCCGATTTTAGTCTTCGAAAAAGCGCCCCCCCCCCCCCTCATCTTGGAAAGCTGAAAAGCGGTTTTTCCGGTCACTGTTTCTTAAGGATACACGTTTTATATTTACACAATCAAGGCAGAAAAACAGTTAAATCAGTATGCAATTTCTTTACTTTGACTGTTTATAATTCAAAACTGCAGCTTAAAATGAGGTTTTAAAATTATTTTCTACCCCTTTTGGCGCCCCCTAGGGTCGGCGCCCGGGGCGGCCGCCCTCCCCGCCCTCCCCTAGCTACGCCTCTGTGTTACATACTTAGATTTTTCTGATTCGTATTTTTCACTAAATTCATATAATTTTGAATGTTAAAAATAAATAAGTTGAAACGGCTGTCTTACATGGTCTTCATTTATGATAAGGGTAGAACTAAGTTTAGTGATAAAGTTAGGTTAGAGTTAAATTATTGTACATATTTTCAAATATTTATTTATGTATGCTAATAATTAAAGCAAGATGTATACGGTCAGCTAGGGATAGTGACCTATCTAGTAGAAGTAGAGAAAACTCCAAACATTAAACAACTGCTACCTTGCAGTTGAGTGGGCTAAGTCTATGTTGACATGTATTACTTAATTATGTTGAAATATATGTATATATATACATATATACACACACACACATATATATATATATATATATAGAAGAAAGAAGAAGATCAATTTGTTTGATGTTATGTAAACAATCGACAAAATTACAGGTTAATTAATCAGAGAGCAGGTGTTGAAATGAGTGAATAGTGCAAATGGGAGCGAAGAAGAAAGTAAATATATGCTGATATAAATAACTGTCAGCGTCAACTACCCCAAGCAACACCAGCACACAAGAGCACCCGTGGGTAAGCCCAGATAACGGACTGCCAGCAGAACTGTAAACAACTCACGACACCTGCTACTATTCAGAGGCGTAGCGACCCCTCCCGGCGCCCAGGGCGAACTTTCAGTTTGGCGCCCCCCATATATATATATATATATATATATATATATATATATATATATATATATATATATATATATATATATATATATATATATATATATATATATATATATATATATATATATATATATGCGTGTGTGTTTGTGTGTGCGAAAATCTGGAAAAAAAATTAACAATTACGCTGATTGTCCTTCCCTAAAACTTCACTGGACGCCAATCAAATTCCCCTTAAGATGCCGAAACGAATAAAAAGTAGAAAATCATAAGAGCTTAAATCAGTGGGCTCCATCGAACCCGAGAGGTTCGGTAATTCAGTCTCAGGGCTTCCGCGGAGGTCAAGACAGACACCCGACTCATAGGATTCACGATCGGATTTTGTTATTGTGGACGATACAACTATTAATAAGGAGGGTTCGGTGATTTCGCATATGAAACTGGTGGGGTTCGGTACTCCAAAAAGTTAAGCACCACTGCTTTAGAGTGTATTTTGTAGAAGGTGCAAGCCTTATTTGGTCAACTTTTGGTCGTGTCTTTAGAACAATTTCGATAATAGTAGGCCAATATTGCAATTTTGAATTATCAGTTATGTTGAACAAAATAATAATCAGTACAATATACTAATTTTCTTCTCTCTTAAAATTTTGTCAAAGAGTGTCGCTTCCCATCCACCCGCTCCGACAGTCTGCTATTTTACTGATAGGATAGCGATACAAGAATCCGTTATATTTATTTTTCTTTAATGCAGTGATCCAGGCAAGATGTAATGCAATCAAGTAAAAGTATCTGATCTCTCACGATCAAGTTGAGAGAATCGTACAAAGAACTAGTCGCGTTGTTACTTAGCAAAACTGGGTAGTGAAATCGTACATTAAGTGTTAATACAATTGATTTCTTTTCTAAATGTTAAAAGAGTTATTTAGTAACTCTTTTTTATGTTACACAATCGTAAAATACGCTTTAGTTCAATTGGTTTCTTTTCTGAGTGATATCGGTTATTTATTCCTTAATCCGGTGTGAATTTTTCCGATTTTAGTCTTCGAAAAAGCGCCCCCCTCCCTCCCCATCTGGGAAATCTGGAAAGCAGTTTTTCCGGTCACTGTTTCTTAAAGATAAAGTTTTACAGTTACACAATCAAGGTAGAAAACAGTTAAATCAGTATGCAAAGGCTCTCAGCAGTTACATTTCTTTACTTTGACTGTTTATAACTCAAAACTGCAGCTTGAAATGAGCTTTTAATTTTTTTTTCTACCCCTTTTGGCGCCCCCCTAGGGTCGGCGCCCGGGGCGGCCGCCCTCCCCTAGCTACGCCTCTGCTACTATTCTGACCCCCATTTTCCACAATCAGTGCGATGACCTGGTTAGAAAGTCGGGCATCTTGTCGGTCGGGGCGGATAGGGGGCAGGTATGGTATGAATTAGAGCGTTCATTTTTATGTTGTTGTTGTGCTGAGTTTCTTGAGTGCTGAGGTTAGGGTTATTCTTGATTCGACTAATAAAATCATCTTCTGGAATTTAAATTACATATTCCTTTGACAGTTTTGTATAAGTTGTTTCGTTAACAAAAAATTTGGACTGTACCTGAGTCAGCGGTATTCTATTACAAGTCCACTAGTTTCTTAAAAATCTGGCAGTTGTAGCAGTTTCTTAATATTTATGACCTAGTCAGTTTAAAAAAAAAATTATTAAAAACTTGCTTCAAGGTTCATTTTCTTAACATGTCTTAAAAACGAAGACTACTAAGAGTGGTAAAAATATATTAAAATTACAATGTAGGTAGGCCCAGATTATTAAGGTGACAAAAATAATAACCACGGAGAAGGATTTAAAAATTATTTTATCATAATTTTTATGATGTTTGCGATCTCCAACCCTTCAAAACATCATATAATTGAGTATCCTGCGAGTTGCGAGATTAGTTAAAAAAAAAAACAACACAGCAACCTTTGGACCGCGATCAACAGTGAAGTCCCTTTTTTATGATATTCATTCCAATCTGTATCACGTGGGGAACTCTGCTTCATGTTGACGCGTGTTAAAAATAGCCCAACAAAGAAACGTGCTCTAGGCCTTACAGCAGACGGTACAAACAGTGACAACATAAAATCTAAGCCAAGTGGACTATAAAATGTAAAAAATTAAACCGAAAAACGAAACAAATATTATAACATGATTTAATATGTATGTACCTTGCATTGTAAAATCGTTTGCCATTTCTTTGAAATATCAACACGCTATATGTGTGATTATTCTTATGTACATATATACAGCAATGTTAAAATTACACATTTTAAAACAGGGTTAATAAAATCATTTTAAAAAATGTCAAGTGAATAAGGTGGGCGAAATAAAAAAAATTATTCCTGTTAGGTTTGTAATGATTATACAGGATCAAAACCAACAACGTCACTGTGGACATAGAGAGGTCATCCAAGTGTCCAGCTGATAAATAACTTTACATAAATGCGACAAGGGTCAAGGGCAGTTAACCAGCTGGACAAAGAGGTCCGCGCCCACGGTAAAAAGAAAGGAGTGACCTTGATCCCCTCCTCACCTTTCACGCTATCTACAAGTGACCTAAGCAACCCCCCCCCCCCCATCATAAAACCTACCACCTGAAAAACAAGTCCTAATTTTATATCAGCAGGGGGCGAGGAGTATTCTATCTGTTACGAAATAATAGCTTTTAATTAAATAGTCAACGGTAATGAATTAGCAATCTGGCATAACTAAACGACTTATTTTTAATTAACTAAATGGGAGAGAAAGGAACAACATATGTTTGACTACATTTCAACAATTAACCCGGACAAGGCCACTACACACTAATATTGACCTTTGGACTTGCCAGGTTTTTTAAAAAAAAAATACGGAGCCTCGCTGGCTCGTGGCCAAAAAAAAACCTTGACTGTAACTAGAATGAGGTCAGGGTGCAACCCACTTCAACTGCACAAGTACCCACGGCGTGAATGTATATCTGGACAGGGTACTAACCGCACTATCTAAGCAATAATTTAAAATCTGAAGGGGGCACTTCAAACCACGATCTCAGCTATTTGTGGATGTTCAATCCATCCCTACAGTTAACAGTGGCAAGTTTTGTTGCTGTTAATAATAGAGCGACCTACTTAGAAAGATACATCCGTGTGAAGAATTAACACACACCTGTGCTACAAGTTTCTAGCTTATCAAATGGCATAAAAATAAAAAAAAATATAGGTACATTTAAAAAAAAAACAGAAAATTTAAGCACAGTGAAAAAAAATATTTGAAAGAGATACATAAGAGCATAGAATGATATAAATAAAGCTAAATGGCTCAAGTATTAACCAACATAAAAAATATAGATCTAGATCTGGATTCTAGATCTAGTAGTATTGACTAATAATAGTAATATTGCCCAAATACTCAAATTCTTTAGGGCCAAAGTTATGTAAATGTTACCAACTACAGAAATAACAAATTAATCACAATCCTACTCATTAAGAAAATTCATTTGGAGTTCACACCTAACACATCACAAAAATGTATTAAACTAATCTACAATTACTAAACTACAGTAGCTTTAATCATAATAAAACTATAAGATTAGAAAAAAATATAGGTCTAATAATTACTCAAATAACATTTAATGGCCAGTATTCAATAACATAGCTTTGAGAAAGCAAATGAAACCAGGGAATGTAAATAGTAATGAGTATGTATGCCTTGATAAAAACATGAAACAAAGGGTAAGGGTTTTATAGACTAACCCCTGTGGCCCTAGGGTCAAAGTGCCAGTTCTAGGTTGATAAATGGTTAAGTCACCCATGGTACAGTAAGGTGAACTCAGTATGTCAAACTGCTATCTATGTGGGTAAAAAGTTTATCTCCATACAGTGACCCAATAGGCCTTGACACTTCCTGAAAACAAGGGGAAACAGCTAGTTGAACTTTGGACCTCTTATTATCTTATCTTGATTTTACATAAAAATTGATTATTTGGAAAGAGAAAAATCCTGTGCAAATATGATAAGTCAGTGACCTTAGAAGTTCCATTAAAAGAATTAAGCAAACTTTGGACTTTGTAAAATGACCTATATCTGATTTTAGTTTCATGATTGACTATAGGTCTGATTCAGCAAATTTGTACTGTTCAAACTAGGTATTGAATACTTGTACTCGACACGGATAGTTTAGAATATTTGTACTGGACAAAGATCAGTCTAGTAAAATGATTATCTGAACGAAGATAAAACAAAAATCTGTCAACCAGAAAATGAATATTTAGAGATGTCAGTAATGATATGTATGAGGTCAAAGAATATATATACAATGTTGAAAGAAATATAGATCTATTTATATATTCACATTAATGTTTACTTTAGCTAATTTTATCAACAAATCTTGTACTATAGACAGATGTTTACACAAATATTTGTTTTATTTTTTTTAAATCATAACTAAACAAATAGTCATCAATCAATATAATGCCATTTTCTGCCCTTAGTGAACTTGTATTAACTTTTTCATGTTAATATTTAAACTGGTCACAACATAACAGTACATGTTGTATTTTTAAAGTCTAAATATATTGTATTTTTTTTTTAAATTGTCAGTTATTAAAAAAGCACTTTTGAAATCGTTGTGTATTTGATTTTAAGAGCAAATAACAAGTGAAAAGTTTATTTTTAAATATCTTAGCATACTTATCTATAATTAAATAACCTAGTAATTTCTTTCAATAAATGTAACCTTAAATTTATGTTCAAATTTTGAAATTATTTCCACATTAGAATCCAGTTAAGGAAAAAATAACAACAGTAAACCTTTTTCTGCGATATATTGAAATTAAGCACTATTAACAGACTGCTGCTCAGTTATTGATTATGTGAACACTATATTGATAATAAGGCCAAGATATGCAAAAACATTCATATATGATACAATCCACAATCTGGTAAAATAATTCATCTTACACAATGATTATTGAAAGCCCAAAGGTTTTTTTTTTAAACATGACATGATTTTAGGGTGCAAAAAATTTCCAAGAAAATGTGTACTGAAAAAGAACCAATTGTTTTTTTTTCAATATCAGATTTATAAAGTTACTGGCTAGGAGCTAACATTATCAAAAGTTTTATTTACACAATGAAATAGAATTTGCCCACAGTCTTTAGGTGGGCTTTTGTATGTAGACCTGGTGTTTTACACTTCTGCAGAAATTTACAAAAGAAATTTTTTTAATATTCAGAAGCCTGGTCAACCTAGACCATGCTGAGAATTAAGTAACAAGATTTTAAAGATATGATATCACCTCGGCCCGCCGAGCTCTCAAAAATTCAAGATATCATTCGACAACATTACACATTACCATTAAAGTAGATTTAGACATTTGTTTTAAAAAATACTAAAACAACAAAATATCAAATAGAAACTGCTAAGTTACCAGCTAATTTTGATAGCCCCCAAAATAATTACTTTTAAAGTTAAAAAAATATATTTCATCTAAATTTAAAAAAACAATTTTAACTAGTGCTGAGTGATGATGATAAAATACGATCAAGACCCCACACCAATAACTGTAAGAGGTAGAAAACTTTCTGCTTAAACAACCACCAACTTTACAAATAGTGTTTAGGCAATAAACATTAGATAGCATTTTAAAACATGAAATGGAACGACCCTATGTTTTTATATAAAAAAAGTTTTTTTTAAAAATGCCAATTTTAAATCACACCAAAATGTCAGTCAAATTCATGATAAAACAGAGCCAGCCTTTTTTAAACATGAATGCAGTACAAATTTTAGATAGAAGTGACAGACCTATCAATTTAAAATAATTTTAAGTATCAGCTTCAGTGTTAAATTTATATTAAAACAAAAAATGTCATATGATTTAAAAAAAAAAAAAGTAAACAATAGCTGGCAAAATAAGAAATCACAGCCAAGTAAGTCATAGACTTTATGTTGTTTACATGTCCTAAAAACACAAATTGTGATACAACATTTTAAAAAGCAACTAAAAATTACCCAAAAAATGTATGAAACCAAAAAATGGAAAAACAAACTTTCTACAGCAGGTTGATAAAGTCCAAGTGAAGGGCGAGTCATGGACTAAATGAAAGACAAAATGTCAATTTTACACACAGATGAAAAACACAATGGCAGTCTGGAGCAGCAAATTAATCCCAGAATATTTCTTCCATTTTAAATCAGAATTGAAATCAAATATGGTTTTTCAGCGTTGATAAAATCCCAGTGTATTTGAGGCAAGTGTTCTGTAGTCATTAAAAAATGTAAACAAGTTCACAGATCCAGGAAACAAATTAAAAAGTGATCTTCAGTGTGATCGATGTGCTGGAAGAACAGAAAGATATGGAGTGATCCTGTGCCCATGTCTCTAGGTACACAAACAGTCTGAAACCTTTTTTTCTCCGACCTGAAGCAGAAGCTCCTGTACAATTTCTCCCGGCTCGACTGGCTCAAAAGCAGTCTCAAACCTCCTGGGCTTTGCTGCACTCAAATCCAAAAGGGTGGTACATTTTTTGCAGGTGCTCAATGCTAGACCGGCACTGAGGGCACTTGTCTATGCATGGAGAACAGGAATCACAGGTCAGGTGACCACAGGGGCACAATACAACGCTCACAAATTTGTCCATGCAAATACAGCACAGCATTGAGTCTTTGAGGGCATCCAGCTGGTGCTTGAGATGCTGAAAATTTAAAAAAAATAATATTTATAAATAAATTCAGGCAATTACGTACTTATAATACATGTTTGTATTAATGAGTAAAAAAAAAAATGGTCGTTTAATTCAACACAGAGAATGTAAATTGGAAAATTGTTTTTACCTTTATTTGGTCTAAATTAAGTACTTATAATAGAAGTTTGTATTATGAGAAAAAAAATAGGTCTTTTAATTCAACACAGAGAAGGTAAATTGTAAATTTGTTTTCACCTTTATTTGGTCTAAATTTTGGTTTCCTCCTGATGTACCAGCCTCTACATCATCTTCTTTCTCCAACTCATTCTTATTTTCCAACTGAAAACTGGACACATTATTCAAATTTGTATTGGCATACAGCATCCTCCTCACATGGTCATATGCCTCTTGTCTTGTGCGTTGAATATCAAAGATGTAGCGTTTTCCTGGATTTAGATTTAGAGAAATTTATTTTTTATGCAACTTACACTAGTACACTAAAAACAGTTGTAATAAAACTTTTATAAACATTACATAATTAAAAAATTAAAATTAAAAAAAAAAATTGATTGAAAAACTGGCATAGTATAAAAGTTACTTAATCATAACCAACTTAAATAATAGTGCAATAATTTTAAAATAAACAGAATGTAAGGAAAAAAACAGAAGTTCTTTACCTAGGTCAGAGTTTTCATAGAATATAGACACAAACGTGCCCTTGAAGTCTCTTGAATATTGAGACTGGACATCAGAGCATATAGTATCGCATCGATAGAATGAGTGCATCTCAGTTATGCAGCGGTACAAGGCTACTGCTGCCCGTCTGCTGATCAATTTGTAACACTCCTCCCTGTCAGTTACACCAGCATCATTCATCAGCTCAATGCGGACGATCCTCTCGTTATGTGTTGCCAAGCGGATTTGTGTGTAAGGGATCCTAAAATTTCAGACGAATTGATTTTAAATTAGTAAAAATAAGTCACATCATCTTGGTTGAACATAATAATAGACATTGTTCAAGATGGCAAAAACTATTAAATTCCACTTCCTGTATGTAATGCAAACTATAAGTGTAAGAAAAATACAAACTTACATTTTCACAGATTTTGTCTTGCTTTCTTGCTGAATAATTCCATCGGGTCCAACCTTGAACACAATTTCCTCATTAACCGAATTAACTGCTTTGTGCTCTTCAACCCCATACCCAGGTAAAGATGATGCATACTTAAGAGCAAAGTAGCGAGCACTAGCCCTAGGAACACCCCGTAGCTTTGAGTGCTCACTGTGTATTTTATCAAGCAAGGATGAATCCGCTTCAGAATCTGGAAGGATCTGTTTGATAACCTGAACAAAAAGAACAGACTTCTGGTAATTAAAATTGTAGGCCTTAGTGTGATTTTAAAAAATTGGACTAATATCCAAATTTTTCTGTTTTTAGCAAACAGAAATAGCCATCATTAAATATATACTGCAAAAATATCTACTCTCAGTTGAAGTTTATTCTAAACACAGTGTAGAGGAAATATAAATAAATGATTAAAACTCCTAGTATTCTGTATGGTTTACTGCAGGCTATTTAGATTAAAATTGTTAGCACAAGAATGAATTCAATTTGTGAAAACTTACAGAGACATAATGATTTTTCTGGTAGTTGTTGTTGGTTTGGTCTCCGCTTTCTGCTTGTGTGATGGAAGCAACTATTTTAGCCAGGGTATCCTTATCACATCCTGGCTCTGCAAGTGATATGAGTCCTTTGGACATTGCATCTTTGGCTTGTATGTAAAACAACTCCCTATGGTTAAAAGAAATTTTAATATTAATAAATTAAATTAAGTATATTAAAAAAAAAACAAATATGAAATTACATACACATGAATGGATTATTATTTGCCAATGTAATTATTTTCTGTATTCTAGTAAACCAGCGACATTAAATATATGTAGGCCTTAAAATGTAAAAACAGGTCACTCACTTTGTGCATTCCTGCTGCACCAAATGTGGGGGCACAAAAAATTTCACTCTAAGGCTGAATTTGTAGACATGGCATGATGTCCGTATCTCGTGATCACACACACGATTCCTGAGGTTCAGCCAGAGATCTTCATTCTTTGGACCTTTATATTGTAGACCAAAATAGTCAACTTCCAAGATGCCAAGCAACTTCAGCACCTATTTAGAAAAGAAAGCAAATCTGAATCAGTAGGTAAAAAAATGTTCAGCAGCAGTTTCTGATTAGTTATTTAAATCAATGACATCCCCACAACTTAACATATTTTTAAAGGGTTAATTTTTTTTTCTTGTATAGATCCACTAACTCATGTAAGGGTCTAGCCTTGAATTTTTTTATGGAAAAGGGCTACCCCCCCCCCCCCCCCCCCACTGATCAAATTTTGTGCTGTCTTGCCTTGTTTTTGAAAGAGCAACAATATATTGTTAGGTATCATAATTGTTTTACACACATTAGATAATACAAAATTATTGCAGTCTTGTGTCTAGCCAGTGAGTAGGCCCTTAATTCTACATTCAACTCAATGTCTAAAGGCAGAAGCCTATAATCTTAATTATATTTAACTATTTTAACCTGGACCTCAGGCCTAAAGTATGGCAGCTAGACCAACAACATCCACCAATGGCATTTACAAAAATATACAAATAGATTATGGAAATGCAGAATATTTTCAATTATTTTGGGATCTAGAATACTAGCATTAGTTACTAGTTAGTGTAGTTTATTAATGGAGGCGAGCGAGTTGACGAGATTCCGTCCCCAATGTTGTTGACATGGAATAAAAACGTGCTTTTTAGATTAATAGATTTAGACCGTAAATAAAAAATAAAAACTTAAGCCTAAAATTAAAATTAATTTAGAAATTTTATATTTTTAGAATAAATGCTATAAAAGTTGCAAATCCAGAGAACTTGAAAATAATTTGTTGAGTTTAAGCCAGTTTAAGGCTACATTTCTATTTATTTTCATCAAGCCTAAGTTATAACCGGATGTTTCACTTTCGTAAGACAAATATTGATTGGCTGTACAGTAACTTAGTGATCGATAACTATTTGTTTACAAAACTTTGCAGATCAAGTTTTTAAATAACAATGCAAATTTAAAACCCCATTACCTAGTTTTCTATTTTTAGCTTACAATGTGTACAATAAAATCAATGGCGGCATATCCAATAGCAGGATGCCATTGTTTATGTCGCCATTACACGTGAAAACCAAATTGTTTTTGCTTTTTTTTAAATTTTTATTTAGTTACCGAAAATATTCAAAACATCAAATACATCCAATCTTTAGTAAAGTCCGAAAAAAACCAGATAGACAGGATTTTATAACCATATTATTATTAATTGTAACTACGCTGTGCATGATTTTTAAATGAATTTATACACCTCTCAAATACCTTTGAGACTTTTCTCGCTGGTGTCCATTAGTGCTAGATCTAGATCTATGTGATGTGGTGCTGACCTAACCTAAACTAAACAAAGAAATTAAATATAGATCTAGTCTAGATCTAGATTCCTCTTGCAACTTGAAAGCTGTTTGTTAGCAGTAGGATCTTAAGTTTCTAATCTAGAAATCTGTTACTGTTACTAGTTACACTAGTTAGTTAAGTTACTAAGTTAGTAAGTTAAGTAGTAGACCTAGATTTCTAGTAGTAGAAGGAAGGAGGATAGCGTTTTTTTTTTTGTTGCTTTTTATTTGAACCCAAAAGTAAATATAATAGGCCTGTAGTCAAGAATAGATCTTGTGAACGTCTATTTATTATTTGTATTTCAAAATGATTGAAAAACCTGTATAAATATACATAAAGCTTGGGGCCTAATTAATAATAGTTGAAAAAAGCATTTGGGCGTATAATGCGAAAAGAATTTAGGAAGTATAACATTGACCTTGACTCACATTATGAATCTCTTTCTACAACTACTTAAAATTGGACTTTGGACCCATTGAGGCCATTGCTCTTCCAGCTGATCATGACGTCACAGCAAGCTGGTGTGGGCAGCCAAAAAGAACTATAACTAAAGTCTAACTCTAAAGATACTACTAACTAGCTGATTAAGTCCTAGAAAATGTGAAACTTTAGTAGAGATATAATAAAAATGTACACACTACACACATATAGAGGGTTCAGAAATTTTAGATCAATTCGATCTCCATTTTTGAGTAAATTAAATCGAGTCTCATCTGACACACTTTTTTTTACGTAAACAAACACAGTTCTTACCTTGTCCAGTATAACTTGTGCATTTTGTTTTGGATCTATCTCTAGTTCTATGAACTGCTGATTTGGTTGTGATATATAGCACAACATTTTTCATCTCAATGTATTGCTACTCGAAGATGGCAGTTTTTCATAATTTACAAAATCGCGGTTAGTCCGAGAAGGCACAACAAAGGTTTAGCTGGTGTAATTACTTGTTTCTGTTTCTCCACACTAGCTAGCTCTAGGCCTAGCCTACTTCGCCAAATTTACAACCAATGAAAAGCGTCCGTTGAAAGTAGGCGGGGCTTAGTTGGATTTTTTCCCTTCTCTCTCTTTGTAGTTCAACAACAAACCCTCGTGCTCTGCAATGTACTAAGCCCACGAAATCAGCAGCTAAAAATAAAGTGGTTGCTGACGCCAGATTTTCCCGAACAGACAAAATGATTAGGTCAGTTACTATTTCCCCACTACACAAGAGTCGTAAAATGATTGCTTCATGTCTTGAAATATTAAGAAAGATTAATAAAAGATGTAGGCAAGAGCTGTTTTTTTTTTTTAAATCTCGTAGATCTATTAAATTAGTTTGCATTGGTGAAAATTTTACTTACGTATTGTTTTAATTATACAGGTAGAACGAAACGATAAAGACATTAGAGACAGAGGCGTAGCGAGGGGGGGGGGGGACATATGTCCGGAAAGCAGAGTTTCTTCCAGGCATCTCTTCGGGGGGGGGGGGGGGGGGGGCAAGCCCCCCCGAAATTTTTTTACCGCCCCCCCCCGAACGAAATGAAATTTATATAATTTATATAGAAAATATATACTTTTAACAGTGTCCGCCCCCCCGAAGAAAGTTTACCGCCCCCCCCCCCCCCGAAGATTTCAAGTGCCCCCCGGAGAAAACAGTCTGGAAGAAACACTGCCGGAAAGTTTGTGAGGGGGGGGTGCAAATCAAAAGTTCGAGGGGGGGGGGGGTGCAAATCGAAAGTTTGTCCCCGGGCGCCGGGATGGGTCGCTACGCCTCTGATTAGAGAATCTAGATCTTGTAAAACAGAAATATAAAATTATATTCTGATTCTTCGGCAGCCGAGGCTACTCAATGGGGCCTCTTACCCATTTGGTTCAGGTTTTGAAGGAAGGGATGTTCAATTTTCCCCTCATTCACATCGATAAATATATCTTTATATATACAGAGGGGGTCATACATAAAAGACGTCACGCTTTTTTTTTGACGAATTTGACCTCCCCCCCTCCCCTCCGTCACACATCGTCACATAAAGCCAGACCCCCCCCCTAAAATGACGGCACACACCAGCCTTCAACCACCCTCAAAATTGCAGGTGAATTGTTTTTAAAACATCGATATTTTTCCAAAATCTTGTCTGAACTATGTCACCATAGAATATTTTGATCAATATCTATTACAATTTAAAAATGTGTATTCTAAATCGCGAAATAACGGCTAAAGCTCGTTTTCTAACATTGCTTTTTTATAATGCTAAGGTGTGACGTCACACCATCTGACTCCCTCCCCCCTCTCCCCCTGATCACACACCGTCACAAAATTACAGACCCCCCTCCCCCTACGTGCGCGACGTCATTTATGGAAGACCTTAGAGGCGTATCGAGGGAGAGGAGGAGGACCGCACCGGGTAACACCATTTAGTGGGGTGACACCAAGGCAAAAATAGCAATATATATATATATATATATATATATATATATATATATATATATATATATATATATATATATATATATATATATATATATATATATATATATATATATATATATAAAGATCATTTCAATTAAGTAAATAATTTATTAGAATTATATAGTCTTTTAAGAACAAAATTAACAAATCCCCACAAAGTTGTGTGTGTGTGTGGAGGGGGGGGGGGGAGGGAAGTGTGACACCATGGCGTAAACCTGCTAACGATTGAGAAAACATTGCTAAATCCAGCAGTATTAATAACCGACAATAGTTAAACATCGTTAGTATTACATGTGCACAGTTTAAAGCTATCACGGGGGAGGGGGGGGGGGGGGGGGGGGGCAACAACCAAACGTTGAAATACTTTTATCCGAGGAAAAAGGTTTTGTTGTGATTTGTACAAACTGATCCGTCAATCCATGTCTGGGGTGGGGTGACACCAAATTAAATAATTTACTAACTGTTAGAGTTAGACACATATGTTTTTTCGAGATGGATTAATATAATGTTTGCACAAATGTACGCCATTCGACAAAAGGCTGGGGGGGGGGGGGGAAATTAGGTCCCTCCTGGGACGTAGGCCGCTTTCCAGGGCGTCTCTGTCCTGGGCTAGTCTCTCCAACTGTTGTACCAAATACAACGTCCACCGAAGTGGACTGTGATGAAACCACATTTAAAAATTTACAAATCTACATATCATTCGATCAAGCAAAATTATTATACAACACCCTACGTGTGTATGTATGTAGATGTGTGTGTGTAAGTGTGTGCACGAGAGTGAAGGATGGTGGCTGACATCAGTAGAACAATAGAACATGTAAGTGTACGTGCTTTAGTACTTTAGTCTTGTGTCGATACTCTTACTTGTTTTTTTTTTTTTACTTATTTGTTTTCTATGATTTGTTATATGTTTAATGGACTATTTTTTCTATTCCTATTAAAAGTTGTGTTATAAATGAACTGAAATACATTTTTATCATTTTTTTTTCGCACAGATTTGTGAATTTGTCATAACTAATTTTCAATATGGTATAAGTTAGATGAAAACATTTTGTTTTTCAATGACTATTTAAAACTTCGTGAATAGAATTGGTTGACTCCCACAATATGGGGAATCTGAACTTAGAGTTTCTTTAAGGCATCACCCCCCCCCCCCCCCCCTCTCCTCCCCCTAGTTAAAGAAAATACATTGTTAATATAGAAAATATATACTTTAACCATTGTCTTCTCCCCCTACCCCCCCCTCCCCCCGGCCCCGAAATTTTAAGTAGCCCATTTCCGTCGAAAATTGACTGAAAGAAACCTTGTCTGTACCTGGCCGTCCATTGGGCATTTAATGTTTATGTTTCTATCACAGCGACTAATAAAATAAATACTGTGACCAGCACTATGCTCAGCCACTACGTGAGTCAGATGTCCGTCAGTCAGGGCTGGAAGGCTGAGGGACATGCTACAGACTCGAATCCGAGAGTTTCATGCTAGCAGTCGTACTCACTAACTTTCGACCACAAACTCACATACTGATCGATCAAACTAAATAAAAAACATTAACTAATGAATTTAAAAAAAAAAGGATTTCAAGGCACATAACCCGTTAATAATTGTGTAAAACACTTTACATTTTAGTAGCGTACCTTGATGTGTGTTTATTCAATTTTATTAGAATTAGCCTTTTATTTCTAACATTGTAAATTGAATGCAGGGAAAACAACTTTGAATATTCTTATATAACACTACGGGGGACGACAACTCGGGATAAAGACAATATTTTAAATTACTTAAACTTTTTAAAATAGAATAGAATATCGTAGAAAAAAGAATTGCACACTAAGTGAACACCAAATGCAATGCGTATAATATTCTTTGTACTTTATAAATTCACATGCGTTTTTTGAGAAATCGGAAATTGCCTAAATTACTACGGAAATTACTCAAAAATTTGAAAGAAGGCAGAGTATTAGATATTTTATTTATATTTGTAATTTCATTTATCTATCTGAAATAGTACTCAAGTCATAGGCTTATAAAAATTGAAAGTAGAAAAAGTTCCACTTCCGGTTATTGGAAATCGCTGAAAAGTTGATATGGATCTACAAATTTGATATAGTCTAATACTTATATATGATAGGTTTAATTATGGATTTTTTAAAATAAAATATTCTGTTATTTCAAATACACTATTAAGTTCCTTACCCCTTAAGAGAACATTTGACACCACATTTAAATATCTAGCTTACTCAGTTGACGAGAAAAGAGAGAATTTTAAAATTAGTCTAGAATGGAAAATGAATGACAAAACCCACGTTCTCGATCCCTGCCGGCATGGCATGACGTCGTGAACTGGTGTGCACAAGTTTTTTAAGGGGTGTGTCAACTTAGGTTATTTACTCACCGGAAAATAACAAAAAAAAAACCAACTGATTGATAATAAAACTAGATCTAGTTATTTATTAAATTGGTAAAGGAAAATGTACATTACAAATTCTACTCTACATGTTATTCGTACCATTTTTTATGAAATAATGAACACTTGCATAACTCAGATTACCATAAAAAATATTTTTATTTCAAATTCTAATTTTATTAAATATGCTTAAAATAATATGATTGTTATGATAGTCTATAAATACAAGAAATAGGCCTACATTTTACACTCAATTCACATTATATTGAGTCAACAGTGTGGAAGCTGAAGTTCATACACGGTATTAGTGTCTTTTTTTTTTACATTACATTTTTTTTTCATATTGAAAACGTGACGTGTAATTTTTTTTTTATAAAATCTCCAAACATCGTCACTCGCGTGATTGCTTGCTTATGTTTACTATCCCGCGGGTGAAAAATCCCACCACGGTCGAGGGGTCACTGTGCGGTCAGCAGGCCTGTAGTACACGTCATAGAATGAACACGCGTACACGAGATCGTCGGTGTCTTCACTTCTCTCTCTCTCTTCCCCCCCCCCCCTTCTTCAAGCAAATTATAATAGAGTAGAGCCGAATGGATACAAAACTAAGACTAATTTTAAAACTTAGCTTAATTTTTTTTTGTCTACTCTCTTAAAAGATAAAGCAAATGTAGTTTAATGTAGTAAGGTAAAGTAATTTAAATATTCAATATCAACTTGAAGTCGATCTATCTTGATAAAATCTGTCAAGAAAAAAAAACGATAAAAGATCTCCATCCTGAACTTAAACCAATTGTAATTTTAACAGACGAAAATGATGCTCGCGCACATTTTTTTTTAACTAGATCTACGTCTGGCTTTAAAAATAATAAACACATAAACGCTTAAAATGCCCGTAAACAGATTATTTAGCGCCAAAAAAAGAAAAAGGCCGCTGAACAAGCATTGTTTAAAATACGCAGCAATGAAAAAGGCTAACGGCCTATCAAATAAGTCTAAAAATCGCCCGAAATTAGGCCTAGCTCTGAAAAAGGCCACTGAACGAGCATCACTGATTATATAAACGAATAGGCCACGCAGCGTTGACGAGGTTAACCACCGGTCACGAATTAAATTCAATGCAGCTACTGTCGGCCCACAGTGAAGAAAAAAAATCAATATAGGCCCTACTAATATTTTAATAAAATTACTAATACAATAATAATTTCCACAATTTTACTTTTTCTGCACACGCTACAGTTGAATTATAATTAAAATACTAGACTTAAAGGTTCATTCCGCAAAAAACAAAAACTAGGTGTTTCTGTGAGGTAACTAGCGTAACAATGACGTCACGATAGTAAACAAAGCGGACAGAAATTTCTGCATGGGTACCTCATCCTCATATTCGATTTTTAAAAAATGTATCAACAGATCTGTAATTAATCATTATAAATATCTCAATTATATATTTCTGCATTTGTACCAGGGGGTTTCGACCATGTACTGGGCCGTTTAAGGCGGCAGTTCAGTTTTTCCCAAGAGTACTCGACAAAAATAGCGTGTATTAATTAAAACCACGTATCTCGTGAATATTTCGAACATTTTAAGGCATGGCGTCCATTTAGTTAGCATCTCACATTCAAATAATGATGAGATTTTGCGATATTAGCAGTTTTTTCAATTGTCGTGTAACGGACCCCTAAAAAAAACGAAAAAAACGAAAAAAACGACGAGTGACGTTTCAGGGTCAGAGGTCATCCCGCCATCTCAGCCAGGAGACGATCTAATATATGAAATTTCATCAACCTAGCTGTAACGTAACGGTACTAGAGTTATCGTGTTTACAGACACACACACACACACACACATACACACACACGGACAAGATTGCAAAACTGTTTTTCCGACTCAGGGAGGTGTAAAACGCCGAGATTTGCAAAAATCTCAAATTTTTTTTTGCACGATTATACTTTGTATACGAGAAAGTAAAGAAAAAAAACAAAGCACAAAGGTTAATTAAATTCTCTCCCCTGATAGACGTCTTTTACTCTTTAAGTTTATTTTATCAGTGCTCGATACATGGCGCCCTCTGCAGAATAATCCCGGAAGTATAGATACAATACCTTCCTTGTTTACAAATCCTGACAGCTACATTAAGTTCCTGCTTGTTGGTATGATATTTTAACTAATTTACTGTGCTTTTGACAAAGTTATATTTGACTATATACTTAAATTGACTGTTTATTGTTTACGTAGTGAAGCAAATAATTGAAAATTAAATCTAAAGCCAGTCTATCACACACACAAAACATTGACTTAACCGTCAGTCTATTGGACCGGTATGATGATCCCACATTCTGGGCCCAGTGTGAGTCTTCAACTACAGATCATCGACTCACAGTGCTGAGTAGTTTATTTTTGTTAGTTACTTGTTAGTCGTTAAACTTACTCACGCATCAGCAATAGCAATCAAGCAAAATAATAGACTATTACTTTTATTTCTAGAACAATCAGAGCATTCAGATTAACTAATTTTATAAATTTACTAAGCATAAGCAACCACTGAGTGAAGCAGTCACAAAGTCAAAGTGTTTACAATAATTTCATTATAGACTAGATTAGATCTAGTAACCTACCTACTGGCATAAAATGTACACAAGTGGATAAAATAACACATAGGCTACAATTAGGGTCAAACTTAAATGAGAGAACATTGGAGATCATTCTAGTTTCTACTGACATGAAATAGTTAATACTTACAATTTTTTTCCCACAGGCGCAGCAGTGAATGAATAAGGATGATGAAATTTATACCAACAAAGTCAATCTTCTATTAGAGCTTAAATCAATGGGTTCATGCAAAGTGCAGGAAAAGTTTAACAACTAATTAACTGAATTACAAGCCACTTATTTGTAGATTTTGGGTATAATGCCATTGCCGATGCCAGGATTCATGGAGCACAGAAACAGTACAGTTACCAGGCCTGACACGGGCAAGACATTGCCCCCAACGCCAAGTAACTTCAGGAACTTGAGTGCTAACATTAGAAGAGTGGCAGTGATAATGCCAGACAGAAAAGACCAGGGAAGCCAGGGGCAGCTGATTCAGTTTGATCAGGTAACTTGGGTTGATTTCATTACATGCTAATTAATTAGACAATTCTAAAAAAGTGATAGTTTTTCTTAAGATAACAAATAAAATGTAAAACATAAATTAGCACACCTGCAAATACTATGGTATTTCACTGTCTAATGAGTTCTTAGTAATGTATACACTTTAACTAAACAGGTTTGTATTAAGGCATACTGCTGTTTTTTATTTTTATGTGTGCTAGAATTGAATTAAATTCTGAAATTAAAAAGTCATCAGGCCTATTTATAATATGATAAATAAGTTTTGGATATTTTAAGTTAGGAAAGGTAAAATATATTTATAAAAATTGTTTTTGCAGACTTTGGCTCTGGACATTATAATACAAGATATTTGTAGCAAGTAAGTTATTTTTTATTTGCTGTCTTAGCGACCAGTTTGTTTCTTTTATTAATTGACTCTAACATGGCTTATGCAGTCTTTTCGGTTGATATAGTGTTTTGAGGAGTTATACAATTATTTATTTATCATATTGAACTTGCCTACAGATGGGGCATTGATGACGCAAGTTCATATTCACTTCGTTTCAATGAGAACAATCAGAAAATGTATATCACTGAGAAAGTAAGTGCTTATTTTACAATGTAGATAAAATTATATTAATCTTGCACTCAAAATAGTCCTTTTGGAAAAATCTTTATATTAAAAAGGATATTTTTTAACATGCTATGTAAACAAAATTAAAACAACTGATAAGCTCTGGTTAATATGTGGTTGTACACTAATGATTTGTTATTAATACTGTAAAAATATATTTTTATATTTGATATTTTTTATTGCTCTTTGACAGAATCGTAAAGATATCCGTGATGGACAGGTTTTGAATTTGACTCTCTCAGCTGTAAGTTTTATTTTATCACACATCCTTTTATTTTCAGAGTTAAAGTAATTGAGTCACTTTTTTTAGTTTTTATAATTATTATTTAGAGGTATACATTGAACTGCTTTATACCAAAATGTCACTAAACTCTTTCATGTATAGAGAAAAAAAAACTAATTTATTCTACAGGCCCAAACAGCTAAACATATTAGACAAGCCCTGAGTGGGTCTAGACAGGAAGACAAAAATTCAGCCCTACGACACCTGTCCCTGCTCTCATCAGATATCTCTTTTGCTGAAGAGTTCATCAAAATTGAGGGCCACCAACTGGTTATCACTATTGTCACATCTGGAAACTCGTTAGTGTTAATTTTTTGTTTATCTCTAGAAAAATTGAATTGTGTCTATCCTAAGGTTAAGAAATACTCTTTTAATCACCTTCACAAGAGTTTTGGGAATGAATAGAAGCAGTAGTATAGCTAGGGCATGGCGAGTGGGGCGGCTGCCTGGGTGCCACCATTAGGGGACACCAAAATGGGTAGAAAAAAATGGTTGAAAAAATAGATAGTTCGTCCCAGCGCCGGAATGGGTCGCTTGGCGGTGAATAGAAGTTACAACCCTTTCCTTGTTAACATTTAGCTGCTCCTACTAGTAAAATTTTTCTATCAGCTCTTCATGAGCTGACACTAATAATATCCCTTGATATATTTAAAAAAAAATTTCCAGCAATTATTTAATATATAGTTTTCTTTTACATGTAACTTTCTTTCAGCAGTAACATAAACTGAACTGCTATGTACCCAATCTAATGTGTTATTTTACATTATCAGCCGAGGGGATCCACTGGCTTATGCCCTGAAGTCTTTTGTCTTCCTTATGGAGCATGGTCTTGTACAGTGGGAGATTCTAGAACCTGACTTTATCAGACGGGTAAGCAATACATTTTTAATAGATTTAGCATGACTGCTATCTAAATTGCTAAATTTGATAGTGATTTTAAACTATAGTATAGGAATTAGTTATGGGTTTTTATATTGTTTGTATGGATAAATTAGTTAACCAATAATTTTATATTGAGAATGCATGTGTTGTTAACTTTTTAAAATGGCTAATGTAAACCTCACACTAACACAAGGTATAAAAAACACATTCTCTTATGGCCTGTACAAACCTTCTTTAAAATTGTTTTATTCACCAAATCATCAGCATAATGTTTGATCTGTATAATCACACAAAACTTCAAGAACTTAAAAACTATCCCAAGAGAGAAAAATTAAGTCCTTATTATTATGTTATTCACATAGTAAACTTGCCTCACAGATTATTTCTTTGACACTTATGCTTTTCATTAGCCTTGTATGATTTCAGTCACATGATCTTGAGCAATAGTCACATGACTCATAATTTAAAACAATAAACAAAGGACTTTTCTCTTGCCCCTTGTGTATACAATGCTTTAGTGTAGTAATGTTTTTTTTATTATATCTTGCAGGTGGCTGACTGTGTCAACATCTCAGCTAGCAACTTGGATACCTCCTGTCTTCAGTCAGCATTAGACATTCTTGAATCTGTTGTTCTGTATTGGTGAGTGAGAATTTTTGTATACATAGAGTGATCAAAATTTTGTGACGTAGTGATTGTCAAGATTACACAAGAGAGACACCACCAAGACATTTTGACGCCAACATGATTATGTTAGGGAGACACCACCAAGACATTTTGACACCAACATAATTATGTAAGGGAGACACCATTAAGACTGGGACTCTGATGGAGTGGGGTGGAGGGAATTGGCTAGGATAGATAACCAGGACAGATGTAGCTAGGTGGGGAAGAGATGTGATACGATGGGGTTGTGTTGTCAATCAGTAGAGCATGTAATAGCTTATCCAAATGCCTTGAATTCACTGTACTTCCTCTCACACCTCTGATACCAGCTATCTCGGATTGGAATCTGGTTCAAGTTAGTGGGGGATAAGTGGGCTGAGCATTGCACTGACCTCAGTTTTGTTTTGTCATTGCTTCTATTGATGCAGATTAATTCTACTTTATCTGCCCTTTTGACCAACGTTTTTATCACAGTAAAAAAGAAATGACAGTACATATGTTTGACTATTATATTTATCATCTCCAGTTCATCCCGCCAAAATGTTATAGAGCAGGTAGTCACACCAGTCAATGTTATACCCCACTTAGAAAGGTTGGTACATTTTATACAACTTTTATACAATATTAGAATAATGTGGGCCATTTACCTTTGTTGTAATGGTTGTTGATTGAAAACTCTTTATTTGAGAAAGGATTGTTATGAAAAATGTTAGTTTTTGACTGAAATACACAAAAAGTTCTTTACCATTCTACTTTTTTAAACTTACCATTGTAATTTTGATCTAATAAAAACAAATGATTCTGATTTTTATTTATCCATTTATTTATAAAAATAAATAAAACTATTTGATTTTTCCTACAGTAAAAGTGCAGATGTTCAGAAAAATGCCATAGCATTGATCAATGCATTGTTTACTAAAGCAGATGAAACAAAAAGGAAGGTCAGTTGTGGCCATTAAACTCTATTGGTGTTGAGCTATGTAATAAGAAGTACCTAGAGATAAATCATGTATTAAAAAGTCAGATGGTAATACTTGCCATGTTTTTTGTTACAGAAAATTGCAGAAAGTCTTCAGTCCCAGAAGATGCGAAATAATATTCTAAGTGTGAGTTATAAATTGAGTTGTTTTATTTTTAAAGAAAATTTATTTTCAAGCAGTGTTTCTTGAAAAACTGAGTAGAAATAAAAAGGTTTAAACTATATTTTCTTGAAGTAATTTATTTCTGTAAATTGTTCTGTAATCCACTCTGATAAATCCTTGTTCTCCCACCAATGTCCAGAATGTAATCCGTGGTCAGAATGTTGGTGCAGGGATGGCCCATGAACTGTATGTACTACAGACCTTGCTGCTTAATCTCAATGAAGACAGGATGAGGAAGCCAGTTGACGTCCATGATCCTGTGAGTGCAGTAATTTTTTCTGGCAATGTTTTAATAAACATTGTTATGGTAAAAACTACTTTCACATCTGAAACAGGTCCCATGCTTGCCTGATCCTGTGAATTCATAATTTATTCTTTATTTTAATAATAATATACTTTGTAAATCAAATGCATTTATTTGCAGTATACTAAATTTGTGTAAATTAGAAATAATTTGTCGCTGTGTATAAAGAATACTTTATTTGATCTGTTTAAAGAGGAGATTTGAATATATTTAGTTCCATAATATATATTGTAATTTTTAAATTCTGATGTTTAAGTTTTATTCAATAAGATTTACCTTTTACCTGTTCAGCTTATCCTACGTGAAATTGAAGAGCTTCGTAGAATAGCTTTTGATGTGGAAGGTGATCCTAATATAAACACAGTTCGCAAGTCACAAAATTCTGCCAAAGAGTATAAAAAACTTGGATTTGAGGTAATTATTTTAATAGATTAAGTTTTTATTTTACTCACTTTTAAATAGTTAGGATTTTATTTGATTTATGTGCTGTCTTTTTCACACATACAGGCTTCATTGTTTGTGAAAGTAAAACTTATCTGCATGAAGCTGAGCTTTAACTTCTTTTTTTTATTTAAAAAAAATTTAGAAATAAAAATCTATTAGTAGTTTGAATGTAGGTCTAGGTTGTTTTAATTTATCAAAATTGCTTATCAGTTGCAATTAAACATTAACTGAATAAATTTAAAAACTTTACCTTAAACTGAATCCAGTGGAAATCTTATGTACCATTAGTACTCTAGGCTCAGATACCATGTTTTTCATGCAGAAATCAAATCCAGTGGAAGACTTTATTGATGTACCACCAGGTGTTCTAGCCTTGGATGTCATGTTGTACTTTGCTCGTAACCACGGAGAAAACTATGTCAAGGTAAAATCATTACACTGGTAATAGTTGTAGTATTAGCATATTGATCTGTCCACTATGTTAATCTGTATTTGATTTTAAATTGTGATTTTTTTTAAGGTGGAAAACTAGTGTAGGTGAAAATAAATAACATTTTCGGTTATATTTTTTTCACACTGCTGAATTTTAATAATTAAAAAAAAAGAATTTTTAAACTTAGTTTTCATTTACAGTGATAAGAGCATATTTAAAAAAAAAAAGTTGTATTTGACACTAAAGAATTAGCCTGTGTTATATTCTTAGCATTAAAAATTTTGAAGTAATAACCATTATGAAACGTTTAACCATGATTTTATGTAAAACTATGATTAGTTTTATGAAACAAAAAAATCAGCTGTTTACAATTCTAGGTGGTTTTAGAGAACTGCACAAGAGAAGATGACCATGACTGTCCATTTGTCCAGGCAAGCAAGATGCTGACCAAAATTCTGTGCGACATTCTAAAAATTGGAGAACCACGTATGTTAAATGTTTGACTTTCAAAAGGTCTTGTTAAAACTTGTCGCTTTATATGGCTTTAAAATAACAAAAACCTTATTGCACTAAAGAGCTATTTCATTTTCAAAGTATCCATCATTATTTTTATTTAACTAAAGAAAAACATTATTTTTAATTCAAAATTACTTTGACCAAAGCATCTACCTTAATTAGGTAACCTTAGTTGATCCAGGCAGGTTTCAATAAAATGAATGTAGACATTAGTTAGTTAAGATCAATTGTTCTTTATTTTAAAGTATCCGTTTGGTTAAAGCCATAATTATTTGATTCATTAGTTAACTAAGAGGAATACACCTGAAATTATATATCATTGCTTAAGATATACACCTGAATTTACTACATATCATTGTATAAATTTGTTTCATATTTCAGCATCTGATGATGGGGAAACATATTATACAATGTTTTTCTCCCATGATAAGCCATTTGAGGAGTTTTTCTGTATATGTATTCAGTTACTTAACAAAACTTGGAGAGAAATGAAAGCAACTTCAGATGATTTTCAAAAAGTGAGTTGACAATTAATTTTACTACATTTTCTAGGTGTAATTGACATTATTTTATATAAGCTTAATTTTCAAAATGTAAGCAAATTATTTTTTTTACAAATTAAAAAAAAGGATTTTTTAAACTATTAATGTGTTAAAAAAATTGTTTTTACTAAATAAATTGTGTGGACACATTTGAACTTTTCAATGATGTTCAGCTGTGCAACTACATTTTTAGAGATACACCTGTTTTATTTTAGGAAACTCAATTCTTCTCAGAAAACATTTTTTTCTGCTTAGATTTAAATGAGAAATAAAAAAAAAACATTGCTTCTTTTTTTTTTTACAGTAGTATTTATATTACCTTAAAATTTCTAATTTATTTCCATCAGGAAAAATCCTTGATTTGTTTCGGGTAATTCCCAATCATCTTTACTCATGATAATTAACATATATGTTCTACATTTAGATAGTCAGGTTTTGTTTACATAATATCTGAATAAATTATCTCATATCTTCTAAAGTGATTAGACAGATTTTTTTTACCTGAAATTAAGTTAAATTGCCTCCTATCTTCTGGAGTGATTAGTTAGATTTTAAGTAGAGTTATCTGCAAGAGATACTTGAAGTCCCATCCTGTTACTAAACTACACAGACCTGGTCTGTTTCCTGTGTGTAGCTATCTCTGTTCTGGTTGCCTGTAATCTCTTCACTGATAATCACAGCCTTAATGAACCTGTCAACACCAGATTGTAACTGTAATTAGGTCAGTGTGACCTTTCATGCTGTAACTAGGTCAGCGTGAACCAGGATTGTATAGATTTGTTGTAAAGGTTTTTTTGTTTTTTTTTGACCCAGCTGTGTACATATCCTTGTCTATAGTATTGTGTCTTATGTGTCTTCAACTCTTAGTCACTGTTTATGATGTGTGCAATTCATTGGCTATAAAACTTGGTGGCTTATGTGTTGATGAGAAATATTCTTTTGTTAATTAGGATGTTAGGATTTGTTCACTGAAAACACTCCTAAAATTCTGTTTATATTTCTTTATCACTATGAAATAATGAGAACAGTATTGTGCCAGTCTTAACCTCAGTGGTAATCACATGATATCTTTCTCACAGCTGATTAGATTTTTATCTGGTTCTGTCTTGTGGGAGTTGTTTGGTTTTCTTTCTTGTGTTTATAAGTGGATACAATGCTTCTTACTTACAAGAGAAATTCATTTGCTGTTGGGTAAGTCACTGGTGGTGTTTTAAAATTTTTTGTGTAGGTGCTGGACGTGGTCAGGGAGCAGATCACCAGGTGTTTGGATCAGCTGCCGACATCCTTTGAAACATTCAGGTCGAAGATTAATTCGCTGACGTACGCGCAGATCAACAAGATTTGGGAGAATGAGCGGGAGATCAAAGCAGGGCAGGGGGCACAACTCAAGCCCATCATGTAGGAGGAAAATGTTTTGTGTTGTGATTTCTGTACATGTTCTTATACTTTTGTTGTGATTTCTATACATGTTCTTATACTTTTGTTGTGATTTCTGTACATGTTCTTATACTTTTGATAAAACTCCTGGCAATGTTACTGTTGATCTGTTAACTATTGACATGGAGTTATTTACTGACAACCTTGACAGATAATAGTTGACAGTGTCATGTCTACTGACTGCCACATGTAACATCTGACAGTGTCATGTCTACTGACTGCAGTTGACACTGTCATGTCTACTGACTGCCACATGTAACATCTGACAGTGTCATGTCTACTGACTGCAGTTGACAGTGTCATGTCTACTGACTGCCACATGTAACATCTGACAGTGTCATGTCTATTGACTGCAGTTGACACTGTCATGTCTACTGACTGCCACATGTAACATTTGACCGTTGTGAGACATTGTGTTAAAATTTAACCCTCCCCCCACCTCCCCCTTCCCTTACTTTACCAGAGAGCTGAGGGAACAAATCAAGCCTGAGATCATGGACCTGATCAAGCAACAGAGGCTCAACTACCTGGTGTCTGGCACCAGGTTTGCCAAGTACACCAAGAGTGGCAAGGCAAAAGGTGGGTACTGACCACTGGGTTGTCAGGACATATAGTGGGTACTGACCACTGGGTTGTCAGGACATGGTGGGTACTGACCACTGGGTTGTCAGGGCAAATGGTGGGTACTGACCACTGGGTTGTCAGGGCAAATAGTGGGTACTGACCACTGGGTTGTCAGGGCAAAAGGTGGGTACTGATCACTGGGTTGTCAGGACATATGGTGGGTACTGACCACTGGGTTGTCAGGGCAAAAGGTGGGTACTGACCACTGGGTTGTCAGGGCCCAAGTGGTTAGTGACCACTGGGTTGTCAGGACAAAAGGTGTGTTTTGACCACTGGGTTGTCAAGGCAAATGGTGGGTACTGACCACTGGGTTGTCAGGGCCAAAAGTGGATAGTGACCACTGGGTTGTCAAGACAAAAGGTGGGTTCTGACCACGGGGTTGTCAGGGCGAAGTTAGGTACTGACCACTGGGTTGTCAAGGCAAATGGTGGGTATTGACCACTGGGTTGTCAAGACAAAAGGTGGGTTCTGACCACTGGGTTGTCAGGTCCAAAGGTGGGTACTGACCACTGGGTTGTCAAGGCTATAGGTGGGTTCTGACCACGGGGTTGTCAGGGCGAAGTTAGGTACTGACCACTGGGTTGTCAAGGCAAATGGTGGGTATTGACCACTGGGTTGTCAAGACAAAAGGTGGGTTCTGACCACTGGGTTGTCAGGTCCAAAGGTGGGTACTGACCACTGGGTTGTCAAGGCTATAGGTGGGTTCTGACCACGGGGTTGTCAGGGCGAAGTTAGGTACTGACCACTGGGTTGTCAAGGCAAATGGTGGGTATTGACCACTGGGTTGTCAGGTCCAAAGGTGGGTACTGACCACTGGGTTGTCAAGGCTATAGGTGGGTACTTACCATTGGGTTGTCAGGGCAATAGTTGGGTAAGAGCAACTGGGTGTGTCAGGACAGGTGGGTACTGAATACAGAGATGCCACTTGGATATTTGTTCAATACAATTCATTTTTAGACAGTAAAACTTGTATTTTATATTTAAACAGATAAATTTTGGTTCTGGCGTTTGGCACCCAACCACAAGGCCCTTCACTATGGTGACTGTGGGGAATCAGAGAGTCCATCTCTTGAAGAGTTGCCAAACAAATGTAAGCCTGGCATCAATAGTTCAAATAGTAAAACTTTATAATGATGAGTCGATTATAAAAGTACTTGTGTCATCTGTAGAGTGTTGTAGCCTTTATACGTACTTGTTATCTGTAGAGCGTTGTAGCCTTTATAAGTACTTGTTATCTTGGAGTGTTGTAGCCTATAAATTAAAAGTACTTGCATTATATGTAGAGTGTTCTATCGTATAAAAGTACTTGCATTATCTGTAGAGTGTTCTATCGTATAAAAGTACTTGCATTATCTGTAGAGTGTTCTATCGTATAAAAGTACTTGCATTATCTGTAGAGTGTTCTATCGTATAAAAGTACATGCATTATCTGTAGAGTGTTCTATCGTATAAAAGTACTTGCATTATCTGTAGAGTGTTCTATCGTATAAAAGTACTTGCATTATCTGTAGAGTGTTCTATCGTATAAAAGTACTTGCATTATCTGTAGAGTGTTCTACAAAAGTACTTGTATATCTCCCCAGTGCTGTTGTCAGACATCCAGAAACTACAGACTGGCAGAGATTGTCCACACATTAATCAAACCAAGGCTAGGAGACCAGTAAGTTAAAGCAACATCAAGTCACACTGTTGGGATTTTTTGAGTCCAATCTTTATCTAATTGAGATGATAGCTTCCATAACTCATTCAATTTCTTGAGTCTAATCTTTATTCTGGTTCCAATTATTTCTTTTACTAAACATGTGTCACATATTTGTCTGATGTGCCCATCGGTATTCCTCTATGTCTCAAGTTCAATGAATGAAAGAAATATACACTGATATTAGTTAAGTCATGAACCTGCTATGGAATGAAAGTGCCATTCTTGGCTCAAGTCATTAGGATGTCCCTGAATTCTGATAAGAATTGACTTCAATCACACAGATTCTCAACTTCCACTAAGGCCCACCTGGGTGTGTATTTGGTTGTTATATGTAACCAGGCATTAGACAATTACCTTCACAGTTAAGATGTCCAACATAGCCTTCTCACTGCGATTTTAATTTGAAATATCCCTGTTTAATCTGTCAATTTATAATATCTGTGTTTAATCTGTAACTTTTTAATATGTATTTAATTAATCAATTTGTAATATCTGTGTTTAATCTGTCATTTTATAATATGTGTTTAATCTGCCTATTTGTAATATCTGTGTAATATAATTATAATTTGTCATTTTTGTAATATCTGTGTTTAATCTGTAAATTAATAATATGTGTAATATAAGAGTTTAATCTGCCAATTCATAATATCTGCGTTGAATCTGCCAATTTTTAATATCTGCTTTTAATCTATAAATATCTATGTCCAATCTAGATGCAGACCACTAACGTAGCCTTCTCACTGAAGTTTGAACCTGAGACAGACCCCATCTGTTTTGTGGCCACCTCTGAATATGAGTTTGATATGTGGACTGATGGTCTGAACTTCCTGATGGGCAATGAGGTAAGAAATCTGTCGGAGCTCAAAGAATTGTTTTTCCAACACCTATCCCCCCCACACCCAAATCAGAAAATTTTTTCAGTGGATTCTTTTTTATATCTGTTCTTTTCTGCTATCAATTTAACCAGGTTTATTATTAAATCTCTGTATTTTTTCTGATTATTATTTCTGAGTAAAAAGCAAATTCATCATGTCAGAGGCAACATATTTTGAGGTATATATGACGAAGGAAAAATGAGTCATTAAAAAATAATGTCACGTGTTTAAAAATTATTGTAATTTGTGATTAGGAAAATTAAACCAGACTTTTTTTTTTTTGGTTACCACAAATTATGGTGTCCAATATATTTTAAACTTAAGTTTCAGTAGTTATATTTCCTTGAAATTTTTAAAATTCATGTGACAAATGCAGGAAATATCTATAATTGTCTTGGAAAAGTCAACCTTGTTTGCTTTTTGGAGTGTTATCAGTCATTTTAGTACCATTGGTGCTTTCTCTCATGTTGGTATTCACAAATCTATTTTATAAAGGGCTTAATCCATGTTTTGTTTCTTCACAAATATCTCTTATATATAGATGTAGCTTACATATTTATATAAACTCATACACACACACATTGTTGTTATATGCACTTTTTATTTTTTAAAATAAATACTTTTCCCACTACCATATTAAGAATTATTTCTCCTTTCATTCAGATGACAAGTTCAATGGTAAACAAAGATCTAGAAACTCTCCTGTCAATGGAAATCAAAATGAGAATGCTTGACACAGAAGGTGTGCCCATTCCAGCAGAAGCTCCGCCCATTCCCCCACCACCATCCAATTACAATTTTGCTTATCTTAACTTGTGACCCATGGGATATTAAATATAGACTGTTTATATTTCATTGTTGGACTTAGCCAAATGGAAGCAAGGTTAATACAGATACAACATTTTCACAATTCAATGTTGAACTTTCAGATGAAAACCAGGATAACAGGGTTAGAATATTCATCTTACAATGTTGGATGGTTGGAATAGTTTTTTTTTTTTTGTATTTGATTGTTGGATAATCAAATTACAGCAAGGATAATGTGGATACATTTTTTTTTTTTGAGTGGTGGATAGCCAAACGGAAGCAAGGATCAACCAGGACAGAATTTTTCATATTACAACGTTGGACTCCGCCAAATGTAAGCACTTGGCACAGTATTCTCCACTTGTAAACATTTTTAAAGTCATTTTCTTCATGTCATCTCTCCAAGCCAGACATCAATTACTCATCAACTGCAGTACTTATGGGTTTTTCTGCTGTATTTCAACAAGTATTGTTAACAAGATTTTAAAATATATTTCCATCAATAGAGTTGTTAGTGTCCCTTAAAGTAAGAAACAACACATTGCATGTGCAATGTTATTTGTTATTGTATAATGCTGGTGAGGCTAGATGGGTTATCTCTAAGCTACTATAATCGTGGGACTGTTTAATTTCATGGATATTTATTATGATACTATTCTTTAACATAGATGTGTAGCCTTCATCCATGATTTGATGGATAACATTGATTAGCAACCTCATACTTAATCTACTCCAACTTTTATTTTGATAGCAATCTTGAATTAATGAACTACAACATTTGTTTAAAAATTTTGAATTAAATTAGCTCCAAAATATATTTGTACTATGAATAAATACTGAACAAAGAACACAATTGCTTGTGATAGGGGAGGTAAACCAGGATGAAGAACTTAAACTTCACAAATAATATATTGTATGTATTTTTTTGACCATGTCATGTCCCATATCCCACAAATTATATAACTTTATAACAGCACAAAGTGTGTTCATTATTATAATGGACAAAACATATATGAATATTAAAACACTTGAAATTTTTAAAATATTAAAACACTTTAACTCTATTGGGTATATATTTCAATTTAGGAAAATGATGATTCAGATATGGTAATTCCAAGTTTGAGTAGTCTATGCTTATTCATCATTTCATTCCTTTAAGTTGTTAAAATTTACGAGCAACAGAACTAAGGCATTATTTTATCTCTCTATCATAGTCCTGATTCATAAATGTTTCTGATAAATGTTTCTGATTTAAAAAAAAATCTTATGAGCGCAAGGCAACAAGCATCTGTCAATTAATCATTGCCATCTTTCATGGGTGTCTGATTTATTTTCTTCTCATTGTACGAGTGCAAGAAAGCTAGCATACGTCATGAAATCACATTGCCCCTTACGGGTTATGACATTTGTACTATATTATCACGTATATCACCCTAGATGAGGATTGCCCAGGGATGGCCTTTACCTTGTTGACAAAGTCATCAATCAAAAAGATATGAGTTGACCATCTTACCACCAAAGTGCCGTTATTTTACTAGTATTTATTTGAACTTGGCTGCCATGAGTAGAAATCAGAACATTTTTAATATTATTTTTTTTTTTACGACAAGACCATTCGTATTTATTCAAAGTATGTCACTACAATATGCAAGTCTGTTGCCTCAAAGGGATTTTTTTTTTCTTTCAAATTTTCCCAGTGTATAAATCTCTAGTGTGTTCTCAATATGAAAACATGTATGTGTACATACTTTACATATATTTATACCTATAATGTATTTTATAAGTAGATATTTCTTGTTGTAGATTTGGAAATGTTTGGGGATAACAGGCTAAGATAATACCTGGTCAGCAAAGTGCCATAACCAAGTATTAAATTTATTAAGTTTTCTTTGATTTGGGTTAGAAGAAGAAAAATGCTTCATCTAATGAATATTTGTTCCTTTAATCATTTTCAAAAAATTTAATGAATTCTACTTCCTGTTTCATTATTATGTAATACTATTTCTTACTTCACAGATTTGACATATTCAGTGTTTTGTTCAGGCATCCCCCCCCCAATTTAAACCCCACTTCCCCAATCTGCCACTGACTAAAAGAAGAAAAAAAAATTGCAATCTTTACCTGCCCCTTTCCCAGAAGTTTCAAGTGGCCAACCCAGGAGCCTAATGCCTGAAATAATCCCTGGGCATATGTTGCATATGTTTATAAATCAAATGTAACCATTGTTTAAAAAGAAAAAATCTACCAGTTGTTGTACCATAATAAATTGTACTACTTCCTGTATGGGTTCACCTAGTTAAATTCCTCTACTTAGTGTCACTATGGATTGTATTATTTCATTCACTTTTACATTCCACTGTACCTTCATGTGTTATTATTCATCACCAAAGTCAGTTGTACATTTAAAACTTTTCTTTTTCTTATGAAAGTGTATTTTATTGCTAATAAAAGGATAACAAAATATAATGTAAAATGGGCTTGTAATAATTTTTTGGTAATTAAAGTTTTTGAAATTAGTATAACGAGTACAATCAGGTGAGTGATATGATTGATGCAGCATTGAGGATAGAACTTGATGAGCGCAAACAAAATTAACTCATGGGATTTTTATGTATTTTGGTCTTAATACATAGGTTTATATTGTTAAATTCTTAGGGGGATCTCTTTTGTTTTTGTTACTTAATTATTTTTATCTATGAACAATTTTTAAAATGTATCTTAACATTATATATATTTAAAAAATCAAATATATTGTGCATGATGTTCAGTATATATTGGGTATTGTTTTGTCCATTTTTCTATTTACAATTTAATAGTCAGAAGTGGATGTTGATTGTATTACCTCCCTTAGGTTCAGGGCTAGTTTAATAAGCTATTTGGAATATGTGGTACTAAGTAGTCTACCATTCCAGCTTTTTTTCAGTGTTGTATGGTAATCTAATGGGTACATATTTGGTGTCATATGGCTGTACACATTTGGTGTGTAATGTGAGGGTACACATTTGGTGTGTAATGTGAGGGTATATATTTGGTGTGTAATGTGAAAGATACATATTTGGTGTGTAATGTGAAGGTACACATTGGGTGTGTAATGTGAAGATACACATTTAGTGTGTAATGTGAAGGTACACATTTGGTTTGTAATGTGAAGGTACACATTTGGTGTGCAATATGAAGGTACACATTTGCTGTGTAGTGTGAAGGTACACATTTGGTGTGTAATATGAAGGTACACATTTGCTGTGTAGTGTGAAGGTACACGTTTGGTGTGTAGTTAGCAGATACACACCTAGTAAGCAGTTTTTGTGAGGTGTCGTAAAACTCTACATGATTGTCAATTTAGTTTGTTCTTCCTTGAATATCTATCGATACATCTCATAGTTTATACAGTTTAAACAATACATTGATACAAAATTGTCTTTAGATGATCCTCCTTGCTTTGTATAGATGCTACATCTAATTTAAAAGGTAAAATAATTTTCTTTAGTCCACTGCATCACTTACCTAGTTTACAGAAACAATTTTTTATCTTCTGGTCTAACTGGGACTTCATCATGTGGCTTGCTGCTATAGTTAGATGTGTAGACCATTAACTTTTTAAAAAGCTGAATATATATATATATATATATATATATATATATATATGTGTATATATATATATATATATATGTGTGTATATGTGTATATATATATATATATATGTATATGTGTATATATATACATATATATATATATGTATATGTGTATATATATATATATATATATATATATATATATATATATATATATATATATATATATATATATATATATATATATATATATATATATATATATATATATATATATCTGTGCGAAAAATTAGCAAAGCTGAATATGTAGTTACTGTGCCAGATTTTATTTATTATGCTGTTCATGTAGACAGCATGCTTGCTTTATAGATGTAGGTAGATATCTGTGCTACTAGCTTTTGTTACAGGTCAGTGTTACGGATGGTAGCTTTTATTGTAGCCTTATATAGTATCAATTTCGTTGTTGCCGAATTTAAAATGAATTTATGTAATGACAAGCTGGGCAGCTGAGGGAGGTTGTTGTTTCAGACCTTTTGCTCCCTGTGAATATCTGCTTTATTGGCTGTTGAGTGTATTGATCACCAAAGTGAAGCTTTTGCGTAAGATTTTAATGTAAAGATGTCAAATTCACTGCTGAATGTATCACAATTGTTAAAAGTTGTCAGTTTATTTTTGTTCAGGTATAATATGACTAGATTTCAACGCACATTCTAAGAGTTTGCTATTCCATGGTTCAATAATTATTCTGTAGGTTCACTTTCCCATTGTTTTATAGGTTCAATGTCCATCTCATTGTTTTATTATTCTATAGGTTCACTATCCCATTATTCTATATGTTCACTATCCCATCATTCTGTAGGTACACTGTCCATCCCATTGTTTTAAATGTTCACTATCCCATTATTCTATAGGTTTACTATCCCTTTATTCTATAGGTTCCTATTCCATTATTCTATAGGTTCACCATCCCATTGTTTTATAGGTTCATCATCCCATTATACTATAGGTTCACTATCCCATTATACCATAGGTTCACCATCCCATTATTCTATAGGTTCACTATCCCATTATCCTATAGGTTGACTATCCCATTATTCTATAGGTTCACTATCCCATTATTCTATAGGTTCACTGTCCATCCCATCCTTCCATTGATTCACTTTCACTTATCTATTTATTCACTATCCCATCATTCTAAAGTTCCCCCACCTCATCATTCTTGAGGCATGCTGGATTTCATATCTTCTATCATTCATGCTTGCTGTATGCCCCCATATCTCTCTTGATATTATCAGCTGATTGTACTAGCCTTGACCTTGGAGCCTTGCTGTATGGTAATGGTTGTGTCCAGTTTTTTTTTGCTTGTTGTATGGGAGGTAACTCTAATCTTGCTCATCAAAATTTGATTATCTAACTTTTTACCTAAGAACAAAGATGCAGAAACTCCTCAGTGTTAAAAAAAAATTGGACTGCGTCTGTCCATTCATATTTATCCTTTGAGTTATTGTTTTTTTTTTCTAGTTTTAAGGACAAGCAAAAAGTTTAGTTTACACATTGAGATGATGTAAATTAAAATTTTACCTGTATTGATCAATCGGAAAAAACAAAAAAAAAACCTAGTCACATTTAGGTCTTTCATTTCATGGAGGTTATATAACTATAACATTTGAATGACTTATGGAATTTTACCTGTGATGAAAGGTTAAAAGAAAACTAATAATCAGTTGTGTTACAACATTAGTGGCCAACTTTAATGAACATTTTTTTAAATTTTATTTTAAATTTTTGTTTTATAAATCTCAAGCATATTCCTACACTAAATAAGTGTCACAATTTCAGCTCAGCAGCTGAGCCTGTATATACTTTGTATTCCCTTACACCAGGCAAGTAACTAGATCAGGTTCTACAACTCTGCATGCTGTACTTGACTTGTATGTTTTTACTCAAATATTTTTTAGAACATATTTCAATGTATTTATATTTCAATATTGCAAAAAAGATTTTTTTCTCGTAGTTTTTTTTCCCATGCTCTAACGGCACTTAAAAAAATCTTACATGTTACTTACACAGGACTTGATATAAAGAATTATTCCATTTTTATAGGAGGTACTTGTTTTATATACTTGATATTTGTCATTTATAACTTATGCATGGTTAAACTGATTTACTGCACAGAAAATAAACTCAACATTCATGCATTGCTTTGTGCTTTGTATGTTCTATTTGTATTTTTATGTTCTATTTGTAGTTTTTTGTTCTGTTTGTAGTTTTTATGTTCTGTTTGTAGTTTTTATGTTCTGTTTGTAGTTTTTATGTTCTGTTTGTAGTTTTTATGTTCTGTTTGTAGTTTTTATGTTCTGTTTGTAGTTTTTATGTTCTGTTTGTAGTTTTTATGTTCTGTTTGTAGTTTTTGTGTTCTGTTTGTTGTTTTTATGTTCTGTTTGTAGTTTTTATGTTCTACTTGTAGTTTTTATGTTCTATTTGTAGTATTTTCTGTTTGTAGTTTTTATGTTGTATTTGTAGTTTTTATGTTCAACTTGTAGTTTTTATGTTCAATTTGTAATTTTTATGTTCTATTTATAGTTCTTATGTTCTATTTGTAGTTTTTATGTTCTATTTGTACTTTGTATATTCTATTTGAGTGGTATAATAGGAGCTGTACAGAAGAATTTATTTAGCTGGTGGGTAGTGGAGTGGTGGGGCTATTAAGTTGGGCAAGTTGACATACGTGACCTACAATACAACCATATTTTGATCATTAAATTAAAATTTGAAACTACTGTTGAAGTGATTAGTTTAAAATATTATACTGATGAAATGAAACTACGCATACATTAAAATACCGATTTTAAAGTAAGTTAAATTGTATATTTTAAGTGAATTTTGAATTTTTAAAATTAAGCATTGATTTTATTGGTACATCACCACCCCAGATTTTGAAAATTCAGAAAAAAATATTTTAGAAACAATGAAATGTGACAGATATAAAAGCTAAATTATATCATCAACAACGTAGGCAGTGGCGCCACAAATTATCCGGGGGCCTATAGGCATTAAGGGTGTAGGCTCTAGAAAAAAAACAACTTCTGAATTAGAAAGTAAGCTTTATTTATTTATTTGTGTTTATGTAAGTTAGGGTACCTAACGGAAAATGGTGGCCATCTTAAAAAAAACTTTTGTTGTGGTCTCACGGTTTAAAAACTAACAAGGGAAAAACAACATAACTCCAAAATTGGTATGCATTTTTTTTTTTTAAATTTATTTTGAACACGTGGTTCGACCTTGTAACTAAATGAATACACCTACATATCAAGGGACGGAGTGGTCTAGTGGTAGAGCAGTAGAGAGCTGGACTGCACATCCGGGTTCAAGTCAGTAGACCGTAACTCAAGTTACGGAAAGTAAATGCGGCTGGGCATAGTGCTGACCACACTATCTCTTCATATACCGAGGTCACAGAAACAAGTGAACTCTACTTCACTTGCCCTAAAGACCGTCAGGTTTGAAAGGGAACTTTACTTACTACATATCAAGGATTGAACCAATTTTAATAAAAAATAATTTTTTATTTCAAAATATAACACGTATGAGGCTACCAGAGTCTGCAAACACAAAATTTCGCTTTTCCTCGAAAGTGAAAAAGTGTGACAACTGTCGTTTAGCCCCTGTGGTGTTCAATTGTGTTTTGCAGTTATTGAATCTGATAAAATAAAAAGGTGCCAGAAAAGGTGATAGATCAACAACTAACAGCAGGCGATTGATCCGCCGTTAAAAGCAGATGGTGCAGCGGGTGATTCATCCATTTTTCTGTGATTGCATCTGGTCATGCATTGAAATTAAAATTACAAAGGTGGAGCCCATGGCCTCCAGAAAAATGCGCAAAAGAAAAAAAAACGCAAAAAAAAATGCGCACAAAAATTCGCAACGGAAACATGCGTAAACAGAAAAAAAACGTAAGCAGAAATTTGCGAAAAAAAATGCGCAAACAGAAAATTGCGCAAACAAAAATCGCGCACAGAGAAAAGTGCACGCAGAGAAAAGCGCATATAGCATTTTTTTTATTGTGTATTTTTCCTTTGAGCATTTTTTTAAATTATATAAAAGCGTATAATAATCGGCTTCCCTTCTGCATTCGCTCTTCTGCTCTTCTGACAGACGACTCTGTTAATCGAGGTGCTGTTTGCAATTATCATAACAAGTGAGAGAATCAAAATATGAACATTACAATACATTGCAAGCTCATTAGCTAAGGTGACAAAAAATCTATACCGACAAGTTAATAGTGAGAGCTGCAAAATAAAAGGCATTTCTCTCGACTTTGTTGAGCAAGCGGCCTCTACGACTGAGACACGGAGCAATGATGTTTCTGTTCAAACTCATATTACTCTGCGCCGCTTTGGCCATAGTGCGGACTGAAAATTTTATAAATGACTACGATGCTAGCTTTGATTTCAGTTGTCCTTCTGGTGAAGTGTTGAGCTATATCTACAGTGAACACAACAACTACTACGAAGACAGACGCTTTGCATTTTCCTGCAGAAAAGAAATCGCAACATCGGACTGCACTTTCAGCGGTAAAGAATTTATTTAATTAGGTGCCATCTAGAAATTTACCACCCAAACTCGAGGTAGGGCGTGCGTAGTGGAAGCTAAGTATGACAAATAGATCTATCTATATATGTGTGTATTACATGTACCAATGTGTGTGTGTGTCTGTCTGTCTGTCTTTTGTGCATTGCTACACCTTTCATTTGATCACCCTGAAACTTAAGTGGAAGTTGTTGAGAATTTTCCTAGAAGGGTTTCAGTGAAAACAATTTCTTTTATTTCGCAAGGGTGGCGCCCCAGCAGGGCGCGATTCGATTTCGCTATATATGGTAAGAATTAAAGTCGGGTGCGGTTTAACACCACTTATCCAAGTGCCATGAAACTTTAGGGAGTTGATGACAACACTTCGGAGAAAATTTCTGCGGAAAAAAGTTAAACTTTATTAATGGCGGCGCCCGGGAGAATGAGATTTTTCTTAATACACATTTTCTGTGTGCGCATTTTTCTGTCTGCGCAAATTTCTGTTTGCGCATTTTCCTTTTGCGCATCTTTCTTTGAACCACTCCTAAGATATATTTAGGGTTCGAGTTTAAGCATCTATATTTTTCGAAAGCCTAGTTATATGTATAATATTAGCATATGGATAATTTTCATTCCTATTTTCAAGATACCACCAGGAGTAGCATGCCCTTGAATCACCACACCAACAAGACAGAGGGAAAAGGGGGGGGGGGGAGTGGGGGTGGAAAGAAGGAAATAAAGAGAAAAAGGGAGCTAAGTTTCAAGCAATTGTAAAAGCTATAAACAATACTTGTAAGTTATTCAACACGCTTAAATGGTATGTTTAAATTTTTAAACCGCATATGTTTATGTTTATTTGTCCCCAGGATACGTCAACAGTTTTGATAACCCAGTCAACTTCGTTTGTCCGACGGGTAAAGTTATCGTTGGGATCCAGAGTTACAACGACAACTACTACGAGGATCGTCGTTTCAACTTTCAGTGCTGTCGGGTCCCCAATAAGAAGTTATGTAACTGCAAAATGACAAATGACGCCAACACTTGGGACGGCCCAATGACGCTGCGGGTGGGTGACGGCCAAGCGATTCGAGGCGCTCAGAGTCATCATGACAACTATTATGAAGACAGGATTTGGCAGTTCTCTCTTTGTGAACTTAAATATTCATGCTGAAAATTATTAATAGAAAGTTAACTCTTAAATTTTTGTGAAGTTGTTTTATCCTTAAAGTGTTTTTTTTTATGTTTTGGAAATAATAAATACATTGCATCATTTACTTACCCCCCCCCCCTAGTTTTATTAACAGAATAAATACTAAGTATTTAGCCCTACTCTGAAAATTTAAAACGATTTTAAAAAAACGTGTAATTGTTTAAATTTTGAAAATTAATGTAATAAAATTATTTTAAGCAAATTTTTCAGTCTTTATTTTTTTGGTATGTATGAAACTTAGTATAGGACAGATGAAGTAGAGTCCGCGTTTCTTTACCTCGGAATATGAAGATATTGTACTGTCAACACTATGCCCAACCGCCTCTACTTTCCTTTACGTGAGTCGGGTAAGATCCGGGTGGTCTCAAGGACAACTAGGAGTCTCAAGTCCGGCCCGAGATCCGAACTCGGGACGTACGGTTAGCACTCTACCACCCGACCACTCCGTTCCGCTACCATTGGTGAGAGAATCATCGATACTTAATCCTGTTCAAGTAAGTCTGGTTAATGAGCATTGATTGAGCTGGTAGTGGCCATACATCAGAGAAAAAGAGAAAGAGAGAGTAAGATTTCTTTCAAACCGTGTGGTACAACAAAACAATATACAGAAGTTATGTGGGCTGTAGTTTAAAATGTTTAAAATGATAACTTTTCCCGTTTTTTTGGGGTGTGGGGTGGGGGTGGGTGGGGGTGGGGGTGGGGGAGGGGGGCTGTCCCCCCACTCCCACAAATATCTGAACTGGACTAACCTTGAAAGCACAAAATACTAAACTGTGCTACAAAAACATCTTTACCTAGCTGTGCTTAAAGAAACAGGTGTTAACCCATTGTTGGGTCAGCCACACGCAGGTGTAAATTGTAAAACTGTTACAGCTTAATTAGGTAATCAATAAAAAAAAGGTACAGAAAATAAAACCTATCGCTTGAAATAACGTGCTTTTTTCGTTGTTCTGATAAGTGGCAACTTGTTGTGGTAAATAGACACACACACACACAAACACACACACACACAATGTAATACATACAGTGATAAACAGACAGAGGAAGGAGGGGGGGGGGGGGGGGGAGAAGGAGGAGGTTGGTGAGAAAAACAACGCATTTGGTTAAAGATAATTTTGTAAAATAAAACCATTATTGAAATCAAGGCTCCGTAAAAATATTCAGCCTGTCATTGCATAAATGGATGTTAAATAAAGTGGGCCTGAACGTAGGCTTACTAGATATAGAGATCATAATTGTGTACATATTTCGTAGAGTCTCGCGTCCATATAAAACTATAATGATATAAAAACATTGGATCAACCAGATTTTTATTTCACGTTTTGATATGTAACTGTTAGTGTTTAATGCACACGCGCTTTGTGCATTCCACTTTCATTGTGTTTGGCTGCATGCAATTTTTTTACAGTAAAATCTTGCTGATATTTTCAGAGGCGTAGCCATGGGGGGGGGGGGGCAGTGGGTGACAAATGTCACCGAGCGCCGGCCTTAGGGGGCGCCAAAATGGGTTGTAAAAACAAATTAAAATGTCATTTTAGCTGCATTTTTGTAGTTTGAGGGGGGGGGGGGGGTGCAAATCGTAAAAGGGGGGGGGGGGGGGGTTGCAAATCGAAAGTTTGAGGGGTGGGGGGGGGGGGGGCTGGGTGGAAATTGAAAATTTGTTCCCGAAGGGGGCGCCAAATTGAAAGTTTGTCCCCGGGCGCCGGGAAGCGTCGCTAGGCCCCTGGATATTTTTACCCCTTCTGTTTTTGCTACTCTATTGATCATCGTCACTTCTGATCGTCGGCCATTCTAACCGTCGTCACTTCTGATGTATGACCCTTCTGAACCACAGCCCTGATCGAATCTCTATTTCGCGTACCAACTCGGCCAAACACACACAAACAAGCCCATACATTCTAAAACTCATTAATTAAGCTGACAACTAAATCTATACGGACATGTTTAATAACAAGTGCTGAGCAGTCACAAGGGGACTTCACTGGACCTCTCTGAGCAAGCGGCAGCTAAACCTGGTACCCAGAACAATGCTGGTTCTCTTCAAACTCTTGCTGCTGTCTGCAGCACTGGCGACCGTGTTGACCCATGATTTCGTCAACGACTTCGATCGTTCTTTTGATTTCCGCTGCCCAGATGGTTCAGTTATCAACTACATCTACAGTGAACACAACAACCACTATGAGGACAGGCGTTACGAAATTCTTTGCAGGAGCGAAAAGAAGACAACGGAGTGTGCGCATAGCGGTAAGGAATTTATTTAACGTAGAGGCGACAGAGACAGTGATTTAAAAAAAAATCCTACCATGGAGATAAAAACTTAAAAAACTAAAAAAAAAAACAATTTCATACTTAACCTATGATTTACATTAATGCGATTTAATACGGCTTAGACAAATGACAACATAAGGTCAGGCCAATTTTAAGGCAATGACGTGGCTGATTGTTGCTGGTTCAGTGTTTCTTCCAGACTTTTTTCTCCGGGGGGGGGGGGGCACTTGAAATTTTCGGGGGGGGGGGGGGGGGCGGACACTGTTAAAAGTATATATTTTCTATAAATTTCATTTCGTTCGGGGGGCGGTAGAATTTTTTCGAAGCCCCCCTCGAAGAGATGCCTGGAAGAAACTCTGTGCTGGTTGAATCAAGTACTTTAGCCTATACCAGGTTGAGAAACAACCCAGGTACTAAACTTATTTGGTCAGCAAAAATACGCACTGCAGCAGGAGTAGACTGGGCCGCCGGGGAAAAAAATACCCAGTTGGCCACCAACATTGCTGCTGTAAATAGACCAACTACACTAACTGACTATTAATTAGTGATTTTATAAAAAAAAAAGTTTTTTGTTAACTAACCCTTAACTTAACCCTTTCTCAAGCCTGCCTTGTGAATTTACTTTAAGTAGGGCTGATGTCGACCCGTCCTCATCTCGCTTCGCAGCAGTCTGCTGGAGCGGCCAGTTTTAAATAATGGTCGATCCGACCCCACCACCAACCCCTCCGAAGCACGTCTACGGCGCTCTCCCCTCCCCCCTCCATCCCCCACGAACGATAAAATTTAGTAGCCCCTAAATAAGTTTCGAGTGCCCCTCACCCCACACCCGGAGAAAAAAAGTCTGAATAATAGACCTAAATGTATAATTAATTAAAAAATTAATGAACATTCACCACATGAACGTTGGTAAGACCCAAACCCCTATTGTGGATGAAATCGTGAACTGTATAAAACGCAACATCATATTTTAAATAAAAAATATGTTTTCCTCTCTTCTATTTTGCCCTAAAAACAACTTCTTTGACCGAACATCGGTTTACTCCGTATAAACTCTTATTGACTATCGTCTACCCAAGTCCCTTGTAAGAGATCACTCTCTACACTGAGATACTTCCAAAACCAGAGGCGAAAGTCATTTGTATTACACACATTGAAGGCTATAAGCTTCACAAGGGAACTGAATATTGACACAATCTTACTCCATATTATTGCCGACATGATGTCAAGCTTAAAGAAAATCTACTGTATCACTATAACAGGCATTATCTAATGATATCAGGGATAATCTAATAGTATCAGGGATTATCTAATGATATCAGGGATTACCTAATGATATCAGGGATTATCTAATGATATCAGAGATTATCTAATGATATCAGGGATTATCTAATGATATCAGGGATTATCTAATGGTATCAGGGATTATCTAATGATATCAGGGATTATCTAATGATATCAGGGATTATCTAATGATATCAGGGATTATCTAATGATATCAGAGATTATCTAATAATATTTCATCCGTACCAGAAGAATTAAACCCAGATTCATTGTTAATTATTGTGTTTTTTTCTTCTATATTTATGACAATTTACTCTAAATCAATACAAAACCTTTCGGCGACCGCCATATGTCAGGGGAAGGGGTGCCGGGTACGGCCCCTGGTTCGGCTAAACCATTGAGTGGCGTGTGCCACCGTGTCCGTATCGTATTGTGCTGTTTAAAATAAATGTAGGCGCCAAATTGCTCCACCACTTCAAAACTTAATACATTTTTTTCGCAGAAACCTATCAAGGAGTATTCCCAACAACTTCCCAAAGGCTGAGTAATGCATAAAGACAAACACAAAAAGAGACATACTTTCATTTTAATATATGAATAGATATATTTCCAACTAGCTGCATCCCGTGCTCCGCCACGGTAAATCTTTTTTAAATGTACCAACAGAACAAAACTAAACACAACACAAACGAACGCAAAAAAAAAAAAAAAAAAAAAAAAAAACGAAAAAACAAACACAACACTCATAACATAAACACAATTTAAATGCAATCATAAAGGCATATTGCTCACAGTCTAGCCCGTAGCGCCAAATCGCGCCCTTTCCGGTGATTTGCACCCCCCTCAAACCACCTCCCCCCCCCCCTCGCAAATTTTTTCCAACCCACTTTGGCGCCCCCTAAGGTCGGCACCCGGGGACATATGCCCCCCCCCCCCTCGCTACGCCTCTCCTATAAAACCCGAAAGATAGAATAATAATTAGTAAACAGTATGAATAATAGGCAGTATCTATAATATATACAATATTTCACTTTACCCATTCACGCATTTTTTTTCCAGTACTTTAAATTTTAAAAATTTACAATAGAGTTTCATAACTAAAACCATTGCACACCTAATGAACGTGATGACGCGTCTATAATAGTGCTGAATAGTTGATTAAAAATTATAAGTAATAAACAGTAGGGCCTACATTCAGTGAATAAAATAAATAAAAGATTGCCTTTTATCAATCCATGCTAATTATAATTTTCTAACAATAATTTCCTCTTACACATCCGAATAATTTGCATTCACATTTTGCTAATTATATTATTGCAACACTAATTCCTTCTATGACGAACGTATATTTGCATTCACATTTTTTATTAGCGTGAGTTTAATGTATTTTTAAATTACCTCCTTTGTCAAAATTAGAAAAGAGTTAAATTAATTTGATTTTTCTACCGTACTGTTATTATCTTATTAAAATGTATCCACTTTTTCTGGGAACCTAAACGAAAATGATATTTGACATTAATCTTTTTAATACGTTTTAGCAGTTTGCGTGTATTTAATATTTTCTTGACGTTATGCGAAAGAGTAAAAACCGTGGCAATTATAAAATAGCTCTATGCCGCTATATAAACAAACCCTACTCTAACACTTATAATAAGACACTGCGGTGCACTGAAAAGCACAGCATGGTGCGAATGTTTACTTTTATGGTTCCAAAAGCTATAGCGATGACGGAAGGAAGGACTGACACACTACTTGCCCGCTTATATTATAGATAAGTATTTTTTAGAAATGTAACTATTGTGACGAAAATCAAGATTTATCCTTAAGGTATTACTAATCATTTTTAGAATCATTGTTCGAAATTCCTGCTTTTGTTATACAATATTTTATGGACCAAGGAAAACAACCAAGATAATATTTATCGCAAAATGATCTATATATATATATACATATATACATATATATATATATATATATATATATAAATATATATATATATATATTTATATATATATATATATATAATGCTCACAATTTTGTTTTGTTTCAGGATACGTGAATGCTTTTGATCAGCCCGTGAACTTCCTTTGTCCTGCGGACAAAGTTATGACCGGCATTGAGAGTTACCATGACAACTACTACGAGGATCGTCGTTTCAACTTCCAGTGCTGTAAAATCCCTGACAAAAAGTTATGCAGCTGTTACCTGACAGAGGAGGTCAACACATGGGGACGGGCCGATGACCCTGGTTGTCAATGATGGTCAGGTGATTCAAGGCGCTAGTAGTTACCATAAAAACTATTACGAGGACAGAATTTGGAAATTCCAGCTTTGCCAACTGAAAGATAAATGCTAAAAAATAAAATTACCTCCAAAAAAAAAAAACAACAACCCATTAATAAACAATATGAGGGACTTGTCTTGAATTATTAGTATAGTTTATTAAACCTTTAAAAACTATTACATGCTTTAAATACTATTTTTTAAAATCATTTAGCAGGCTGTAGGCTGTTGTTTAACAATGAAATAAATTTAAAAGTCACATGTTTTGAGCAATTGTTGTATGAAGTAGTTTACATTTTTAAAAAGTAGATCTAATTTCGATTCGATGAAATAAACTAGTTTAAATCTATGATATTGTCGATTTTGTGTTGTATAAAAATAAATATAAAAACCTTTACTAGGATACTTGTAATAGACATTAAGCCTTTATGGATTGGTCTAATACTTGAAAACATATTACACTGAAAAAGTAAAGATCCCTTTTCAAACGGTCTATAGGGTAAGTGAAGTAGAGTTCCTTGTTTCTGTGACCTCGGCATATGAAGAAATAGTATGGTCAGCCTTTACTTTCCCTAACATGAGTTAGGTACCCATCAGAATTGGGTGGACTTAGGGACGGATTCGACCTCGAGACTTACGGGTTAGCAGTCCAGCTCTCTACCGCTAGACCACTCCGTCCCATTATTACACTGAAGACCTAACAATTTGGGTGCATTTGCTGCTGTCATTGATGACCATCTTTTAGATTACAACATATCATGTGATTTTGTTATTGTTTTTACTGAAACCCAATAAGTTACATAGACGGAGAAGGGGTTGACTTCTAGTGTTAGTGGTTGGGGTTCTGAGCAGTTAAGGAGTGACCTTCACCAAATAAATCAAGTGTGTCATAGGTGAAAGAGCAGAGGTCGACTTTTGGGGATGTCTTCACTTGCTGGTGATAAAGTTTTAGTATATTGCTGGTTATGATAAGTAGAATAAATTAGATCTTTTAAATAGGATTACAACTCGCATTTACATCTAGCAACTCACTAGGGAGGCATATGTCCAATGCAGAGGCGTAACGAGGGAGGGGACGGGGGCATATGTCCTCGGGCGCCGACATTAGGTGGCGCCAAAATGGGTTGGAAAAAAAATAAAAAATATGAGGGGGGGGGGGTGCAAATCGAAAGTAGTTTTAGGGGGGGGATGAAAATCAAAAGTTTTGCGCCGGGAAGGGCCGCTACGCCTCTGGTCCAATGTAAATGTTTTTTAACTCTGCTAAGGCCATATTTATTAATTATCTGGACAACAATATTTTATACTGATTGTTGTCATCGTATGTATATGTAGATATGGCTAACCGAAAAGTACTCGCTATTCTAAGTATTAGCAAAAAAATGATAATATAAAAACAAAGAAAGAATACTCTTGGTAAAGAAAACCAAGAGAGAATTAATGGTTATTTCCCTTTGTTTCTATGACTATTTTCAAACGTTTAAGCCAGTAAGAGTTGTTCACCTTGAGATTCTCTTCGCCCCATATTGTGTACACATATCTGAATAACTTTTTAAAAATGTTCACGATGTGTTTGTACTCATGTAACAGTTAACAAAACATTCACTTCAAGGCTGTTGTCAGAAAAATAAAGCGGGAGTGATCTCCCCTAAACTTTCTAGAATATTCTTACGTAACACTACGGCAGGGGTCGGCAACCTTTTAAGATGGAGGGGCCAAAAGTTGCAATTTACAAAATTCCCTAGTTTTTAAATAGCCACTAACATTTTTGTTTCAATATTTGGTATTTGATTAGGATTAGGTTAATAAATTTGATTTGTTATTTAAAATAAATAGCTTTAAATATGAAATGATATTTATTGATATAAAAACATACACATGTTTCGCCAGAATAATAAAATCAAATAATAAAACTATAGGACTATCCCAATCCACTATAGAGGCTGTTGAGTTGTTGTTTTTTCCTTAGTGACATCACCGGCTAAGTAGGTGTCTCCCATTAGCCAGGCAGGCCTCAACACGGCAAACGCCTTCTAACTGGCTTAGATATCGGTTTGAATAACTTGCATCGTTCGCTTCTATCCTTTGGTTCTCACCAGGCTCATCTTCCATCCCACTGAACGCAGGGTAAAGTCGTACCCCACCGTCCAGTAAAAATGAAATTATATAACAGTTAATATTTGTGCAAGGAGCTGGAGAGCCGCATCTGGACATCAAAAGGGCCGCATGCGGCTCGCGAGTCACAGGTTGCCGACCCCTTGAAAACGGGGAATGGCTACTCGGGATTAGACATGGTTTTTCATCCATTTATATATATATATATATATATATATATATATATATATATATATATATATATATATATATATATATATATATATATATATATATATATATATATATATATATCAATGTATGTCTGTTTGTCTTTTATGCATTACTACACCTTTCATCATTATATTTAAAGACCCGAGGCATATGTATTTGAGAAGCCCCTCGTTCATTCCTAAAACAAGCTACAGTGTGGCAGCGGTTCTAGACTTAAGACATCCTGGTTTGTTACAAATGTTAACAAGCTTGTCTTTAAATGTTACTCGTAACAGCAGACGAGCAGATAACTTTTAGATAACAAGCAATAGATAAATAGATATATTTTAAAATAGAAATGCCTAGCTAGCTAGTATAAGTTTCAGGATCTATAGCTGCATGCGGTCATTCACTTGAACAGCTTAAGCACACACGAAATGCTAAAAAAAAAAGAGCGGGAGTGATCTCCCCAAAACTTTATCGAATATTCTTAGATAACACTAATGGGGGTGGCAACTTCAGTGCAGTCGGAATATAGTCATTTAAAAATCTATTTTCCAATAGGCGTACTTTAATTTTAATAGTAGAATCTCGTTAACATTACCCAACTTGACTTGATGCAACCTCCTACATTCCCCCAACTTGACTTGATGCAGCCTCCTACATTCCCCCAAATTGACTTGATGCAACCTCCTACATTCCCCCAACTTGACTTGATGCAGCCTCCTACATTCCCCCAACTTGACTTGATGCAGCCTCCTACATTCCCCCAACTTGACTTGATGCAACCTCCTACATTCCCCCAACTTGACTTGATGCAGCCTCCTACATTCCCCCAACTTGACTTGATGCAACCTCCTACATTCCCCCAACTTGACTTGATGCAGCCTCCTACATTCCCCCAACTTGACTTGATGCAACCTCCTACATTCCCCCAACTTGACTTGATGCAACCTCCTACATTCCCCCAACTTGACTTCATGCAACCTCTACATTCCCATAATGTGACTTTAACCTTTCACAGATAGGCGTAGTGTTCGCATTCATGCGATCTACCCATCGCCCATCCTACTCATCACAGCTTTAACAGTTCTAGACGTTAATTTCTTAAAGAGGTGTAAAAAATAGTATTTGATTTGTTTGTTCTTGCTAGCATCTAAACAATTTTTTTTTACTCCCACATTTGACTGTTACATTAAGGTTTTTATATTTATTTAAAATAAACCGGGAGTGATCTCCCTTAAATTTTCTCGAATATTCTTACATAACAATACGGGGGATGGCAACTCGTGATATAGACATGATTTTTTAACCATTTTTAATTACTTAACCTTTTAAAAATAGAATAGAATCTCGTAGAAAAAAGAATAGTAACCAAAAGAACGCCAAAACAATATGTGTATAATAGTGCGGAATATTATTAGTACTTTATAAATTCCGGTCAAAGGAAGTTACTAAAAATTTGACAGAAGGCAGAGAATTAGATCTTTTACTGACAAGTGAAAAGTCATTTATCTATCCGAAATAGTTCTCAAGTTATAGGCTTTTGAAAGATTGAAAGTTGAAAAAGTTCCACTTCAGGTTTTCGGAAATCGCTCAAAAATGTATACAGATCTACAAATTTGATTTAATACTTATATTTGAAATTTCATCAACCTAGCTATAACGGTACTCAGGTTATCGTGTTTACACACACAAACACACACACACACACACGCACACACACACACACACACACAAACACACACACAAACACACACACACATACACCCACCCACACACCCACCCACCCACCCACCCACCCACCCACCCACCCACCCACCCACACACACACACACACACACACACACACACACACACACACACCCTTCTGAACCACATCCCTGATCGAATCTCTATTTCACGTAACAACTCGGCCAAACACACACAAACAAGCTCATACATTCTAAAACTCATTAATTAAGCCGACAACTAAATCTATACGGACATGTTTAATAACAAGTGCTGAACAGTCACAAGGGGACTTCACTTGACCTCGCTGAGCAAGCGGCAGCTAAACCTGGTACCCAGAACAATGCTGGTTCTCTTCAAACTCTTGCTGCTGTCTGCAGCACTGGCGACCGTGTGGTCGCATAATTTCCTCAACGAATATGACCAACCTTTTGATTTCCGCTGTCCATATGGTTCAGTTATCAACTATATCTACAGTGAACACCACGACTATTTTGAAGACAGGCGTTTCGAAATTCTCTGCAGGAGCCAAAAGACAACGGAATGCGCGCATAGCGGTAAGGAATTTATTTAAATTATACTTAAATTATACACGTCGAGACCACAGAGACAGTGATTTTTTTAAATTCTACCATGAAGACGATAAAAACTGAAAAAAAAAATCATACTTAGCCTATGATTTACTTTTATTCAATTTAATACGGCTTAGACAAATGACAAAATAAGGACAGGCCAATGTAAAGGCCGTGATATACCTGATTGTTGCTGGTTAAATCATGAACTTCAGCCTATACATTGGTTGAGTAACAACCCAGGTACCAAACTTATTTGGTTAGCAAAAATATTGCAGCAGGAGTAGATTGGGCCGCCAGGAAAAAAAATTTCTATTTGACTATGTCCCTACCTTCATATCTTGTTGCATAGTATTCAACGTTTCGATTTTGTTTTCTCAAGCCTGCTGTGTGAATTTACTTTAAGTAGGGCTGATTTTACTTTACTTAACGTAGGGCTGATGTCGACCCGTATCTCGCCTCGCAGCAGTCTGCTTGACCGGCCAGTTTCAACTATAGGTCGAATCGATCCCACCCTATCCGAAGCACGTCTACCGCCCCCCCCCCCCCAACGATATAATTTATTTAGAAAACATATACTTTTAACAGTGTCCGCCCTCCCCTTTCCCGTGTAGAATTTAGCCAGTCCCCAAATAAGTTTGAGTACCCCCCTCCCCTAAGCCGATCCATCGATTGACCTTAGAATACTAGATCTAAATACCGACTGACACACACAGTGTATAATCAATTTAAAAAAAAATTAAAGAACACTCAGCACTTGAACGCTGGTAAGACCCAAACCCCAGTTGAGGATAAAAAATTTTGAAAAAAAATGTATAAAATGCAAATCTTGCAACAAATTTTTTTTTTTCGTTTCTCTTCTGCTTTGCTTAAAAATAACTTCTTTGATCAAAAATCTGTTTACTCCGTATAAACTCTTCTTACCCAGTGTTTCTTCCAGACTTTTTTCTCCGGGGGGGGGGGGGCACTTGAAATTTTCGGGGGGGGGGGGGGGGCGGTAGACTTTCTTCGGGGGGGGGGGGGGGCGGACACTGTTAAAAGTATATATTTTCTATATAAATTATATAAATTTCTTTTCGTTCGGGGGGGGGGGGGCGGTAAAAATTGTTCGGGGGGGCTTAGACCCCCCCGAAGAGATGCCTGGAAGAAACTCTGTTCTTACCGATCATCTACCCAAGTGCATTGTTAGAGATTACTCTCTAAGCTGAGATACAGAGGCGTAGCGATGGGGTGGGGGCAGGGGGGGGACATATGTGCCCGGGCGCCGACCTTAGGGGGCGCCAAAAGGGTTGTAAAAACAAATTAAAATGTCATTTGAGCTGTATTTTTGCAGTTTGAGGTGGGGGGGGGGGTGCAAATCGAAAGTTTGAGGGGGGGGGGTGCAAACATTTTCTCCCAAGGGGGGCGCCAAATTGAAAGTTTGTCCCCGGGCTCCGGGAAGGGTCGCTATGCATCTGCTGAGATACAACCAAAACCAGGGGCGAAGGTCATTTCTGTTACACACATTGAAGGCTATGAGTTTGACAAGGGAACTGAATGATATCAGAGATTATCTAATAATATTTCATCCGTACCAGGAGAATTAAACCCCGATTCATTATTAATTATTGTGTTTTTTTCTATATTTATGACAATTTACTCTAAATAAATACAATACCTTTCGGCGACCGCCATATGTCAGGGGCAGGGGTGCCGGGTACGTACCCTGGTTCGGCTAAACCATTGAGTGGCGTGTGCCACCGTGTCCCTATCGTATTGTGCTGTTTAAAATAAATGTAGGCGCCATAGTGCTTGCGGGGGATCCTGGGACGACAAATTGCAGCATCCTTTAAAAAGTTAATTCTTTTTTTCGCAGAAACCTTTCAAAGAGTATTCCCAACCACTTCCCTGAGGCTGTGTAATACATAAAGACAAACACAAAAAGAGACATACTTTCATTCTAATATGCATAGATTTCCAATAAGTATTTTTTAGAAATGTAACTATTGTGATCAAAATCATAATTTATCCTTAAGGTATTACTAATCATTTTTAGAATCATTGTTCAAAATTCCTGCTTTTGTGATTCAACATTTTATGAGCAATGGGAAACAACCAAGTTAATATTTTTAGCAAAATTATCTAAGCCTGGTTAATTTCCCTGAATTTTCAAAATTAAACAATATTCCTTAAATTTTTCTGGAGTCCTAGGATGCCTTTTTTTTTTAGCCCGTGGGGCCCGAAATTTAATTTTTTCCCGTACAAACCTTTCCATATATATATATATATATATATATATATATATATATATATATATATATATATATATATATATATATATATATATATATATATATATATATATATATATATATATATATATATATATACTCTCTATTTTGTTTTGTTTCAGGATATGTGAATGCTTTTGATCAGGCCGTGAACTTCATTTGTCCTGGGGACAAAGTTATGACCGGCATTGAGAGTTACCATGACAACCACTACGAAGATCGTCGTTTCAACTTCCAGTGCTGTAAAATCCCAGACAAGAAATTGAGCAACTGTTACATGACAGCAGAGGTGAACACCTGGGACGGGCCGATGACCCTGCAAGTGCCAGATGGTCATGTGATTCAGGGCGCTCACAGTTACCATAACAACTATTACGAGGACAGAATTTGGAAATTCCAACTTTGCCAACTGAAATACTAAAAGTTATCAAAATTAATTACCTAAAAAACCAAACCGTTTTAATAAACAATATAAAGGATCTGTCTTGAATTCATTCGTACAGTATATTAAACCTTTAAAAACTATTAAATGCTTTAAATACTATTCTTTAAAATCATTTCAGCAGGCCGTTGAGCAATTGTTGTATTAAGTTGTTTACATTTTTAAAAAGTAGATCTAATTTCGATTCAATGAAATAAACTAGTTTAAATCTATGATATTGTCGAATTTGTTTTTTAAAAAATAAATTTAAAAACCTTTACTAGGATATTGTAAAAGACATTAAGCCTTTATGGATTGGTCTAATACTTGAAAACATATTACACTGAAAAAGTAAAGTTCCCTTTTCAAACGGTCTATAGGGCAAGTGAAGTAGAGTTCCTTGTTTCTGTGACCTCGGCATATGAAGAGATAGTGTGGTCAGCCTTTACTTTCCCTAACGTGAGTTAGGTACCCATCCGAATTGGGTGGACTCAGGGACGGATTCGACCTCGAGACTTACGGGTTAGCAGTCCAGCTCTCTACCGCTAGACCACTCCGTCCCATGATTACACTGAAGACCTAACAATTTGGGTGCATTTGCTGCTGTCATTGATGACCATCTTTTAGATTACAACATATCATGTGATTTTGTTATTGTTTTTACTGAAACCCAATACGTTACATAGACGGAGAAGGGGTTGACTTCTAGTGTTAGTGGTTGGGGTTCTGAGCAGTTAAGGAGTGACCCTCACCAAATAAATAAAGTGTGTCATAGGTGAAAGAGCAGAGGTCGACTTTTGGGGATGTCTTCACTTGCTGGTGATAAAGTTTTAGTATATTGCTGGTTGTGGTGTGCAGAATAAATTAGATCTTTTAAATAGGACTACGAATCGAATTTACATCAAGCAACTCACTAGGGAGGCATATGTCCAATGCAGAGGCGTAGCGAGGGAAGGGTCGCTACGCCTCTGGTCCAATGTAAATGTTTTTTAACTCTGCCAAGGCCATATTTATTAATTATCTTGACAACAATATTTTATAATGACTGTTGTCATCGTATGTATATGTAGGTATGTCTAACCGAAAAGTACTTGCTATTTTAAGTATTGGCAAAAAAAAATGACTGTTTAAAATAAATGTAGGCGCCATAGTGCTGGGGCGACAAATTGCACCATCCTTTCAAAAGTTAATTATTTTTAATCGCAGAAACCTTTCAAGGAGTATTCCCAACCACTTCCCTGAGGCTGTGTAAGACATAAAGACAAACACAAAAAGAGACATACTTTCATTCTAATATGCATAGATTTCCAATAAGTATTTTTTAGAAATGTAACTATTGTGACGAAAATCAAAATTTATCCTTAAGGTATTACTAATCGTTTTTAGAATCATTGTTCGAAAATTCCTGCTTTTGTGATTCAACATTTTATGAGCAATGGGAAACAACCAAGTTAATATTTTTAGCAAAATTATCTAAGCCTGGTTAATTTCCCTGAATTTTCAAAATTAAACAATATTCCTTACATTTTTCTGGAGTCCAAGGATGCCTTTTTTTAGCCCTTGTGGGCCGAAATTTAATTTTTTCCCGTACAAACCTTTCCATATATATATATATATATATATATATATATATATATATATATATATATATATATATATATATATATATATATATATATATATATATATATATATTTATATATACTCACTATTTATTTTTGTTTCAGGATATGTGAATGCTTTTGATCAGCCCGTGAACTTCATTTGTCCTGGCGACAAAGTTATGACCGGCATTGAGAGTTACCATGACAACTTCTACGAGGACCGTCGCTTCAGCTTCCAGTGCTGTCGGGTTTCTAGAAAGAAATTATGCAACTGTTACATGACGAATGACGTCAACACCTGGGACATGCCAATGACGCTGCGGGTGGGTTTTGGTCAAGCGATTCAAGGCGCTCACAGTTACCATAACAACTATTACGAGGACAGAATTTGGAAATTCCAGCTTTGCCAACTGAAAGATAAATGCTAAAAAATTAATTACCTCCAAAAAAAAAACAACAACCCATTAATAAACAATATGAGGGACTTGTCTTGAATTCATTAGTATAGTTTATTAAACCTTTAAAAACTATTAAATGCTTTAAATACTATTTTTTAAAATCATTTTAGCAGGCCGTAGGCTGCTGTTTAAAAATGAAATATATTTAAAAGTCACATGTTTTGAGCAATTGTTGTATGAAGTAGTTTACATTTTAAAAAATGTAGATCTAATTTTGATTCGATGAAATAAACTAGTTTTAATCTATGATATCGTCGATTTTGTGTTGTATAAAAATAAACATAAAAACCTTTACTAGGATACTTGTAATAGACATTAAGCCTTTATGGATTGGTCTAATACTTGAAAACATATTACACTGAAAAAGTTAAGTTCCCTTTTCGAACGGTCTATGGGGCAAGTGAAGTAGAGTTCCTTGTTTCTGTGACCTCGGCATATGAAGAAATAGTATGGTCAGCCTTTACTTTCCCTAACATGAGTTAGGTACCCATCAGAATTGGGTGGACTTAGGGACGGATTCGACCTCGAGACTTACGGGTTAGCAGTCCAGCTCTCTACCGCTAGACCACTCCGTCCCATTATTACACTGAAGACCTAACAATTTGGGTGCATTTGCTGCTGTCATTGATGACCATCTTTTAGATTACAACATATCATGTGATTTTGTTATTGTTTTTACTGAAACCCAATAAGTTACATAGACGGAGAAGGGGTTGACTTCTAGTCTTAGTGGTTGGGGTTCTGAGCAGTTAAGGAGTGACCTTCACCAAATAAATCAAGTGTGTCATAGGTGAAAGAGCAGAGGTCGACTTTTGGGGATGTCTTCACTTGCTGGTGATAAAGTTTTAGTATATTGCTGGTTGTGGTATGCAGAATAAATTAGGTCTTTTAAATAGGACTACAACTCGCATTTACATCAAGCAACTCACTAGGGAGGCATATGTCCAATGCAGAGGCGTAACGAGGGAGGGGACGGGGGCATATGTCCTCGGGCGCCGACATTAGGTGGCGCCAAAATGGGTTGGAAAAAAAAATAAAAAATATGAGGGGGGTGGGGTGGTGCAAATCGAAAGTAGTTTTAGGGGGGGGGGGGATGCAAATCGAAAGTTTTGCGCCGGGAAGGGCCGCTACGCCTCTGGTCCAATGTAAATGTTTTTAAACTCTGCCAAGGCCATATTTATTAATTATCTGGACAACAATGTTTTATACTGATTGTTGTCATCGTATGTATATGTAGATATGGCTAACCGAAAAGTACTCGCTATTCTAAGTATTAGCAAAAAAATGATAATATAAAAACAAAGAAAGAATACTCTTGGTAAAGAAAACCAAAAGAGCATTAAGGGTTATATCCCTTTTGTTTCTCTGACTATTTTTAAACGTTTAAGCCAGCAAGAGTTGTTCACCTTGAGATTCTCTGCGCCCCATATTGTGTACACATATCTGAATAACTTGTTAAAAGTGTTCGCGATGTGTTTGTACTCATGTAACAGTTTACAAAACATTCACTTCAAAGCTGTTGTCAGAAAAATAAAGCGGGAGTGATCTCCCCTAAACTTTTTATAATATTCTTACGTAACACTACGGCAGGGGTCGGCAACCTTTTAAGACGGAGGAGCCAAAAGTTACAATTTACAAAATTCCCTAGTTTTTAAATAGCCACTAACATTTTTATTTCAATATTTGGTATTTGATTAGGATTAGGTTAATACATTTGATTTGTTATTTAAAATAAATAGCTTTAAATATGAAATAATATTTATTGATATAAAAACATACACATGTTTCGCCAGAATAATAAAATCAAATAATAAAACTATATGACTATCCCAATCCAATATAGAGGCTGTTGAGTTGTTTTTTTTTCTTTAGTGACATCACCGGCTCAGGAGGTGTCTCCCATTAGCCAGTCAGGCCTCAACACGACAAACGCCTTCTAACTGGCTTAGATATCGGTTTGAATAATTTGCATCGTTCGCTTCTATCCAGTAGCGTACCTTATTAAGGTTTTTATATTCTGTTTAAAATAAACCAGGAGGGATTTCCCCTAAATTTTCTCGAATATTCTTATATAACAATACGGAGGATGAAAACTTGGTAAATAGACATGTTTTTTTAAAACCATTTTTAATTACTTAAACTTTTAAAAATAGAATAGAATCTCGTAGAAAAAAGAATAGCGAACCAAAAGAACGCCAAAAACAATCTGTGTATAAAAGTGCGGAATATTATTAGTACTTTATAAATTTACATGCGTTTTTTTCGAGAAATCGGAAATAGCGTAAATTAGTACTTCCGGTCAAAAGAAAGTACTCAAAATTCGACAGAAGGTAGAGAATTAGACATTTTACTTACATGTGAAATTTCATTTATGTATCTGAAATAGTACTCAAGTTATAGGCTTTTGAAAAATTGAAAGTAGAAAAAGTTCCACTTACAGTTATCGGAAATCGCTCAAAAGTTGATACAGATCTACAAATTTGATATAATACTTATATATACAAGCTAAAACGGTACTCAGGTTATCAAGTTTACACACACACATACACATACAGAAAAGATTGCAAAACTATGTTTTTTACGACCCAGAGAGGTGTAAAACGTCGAGATTTGCAAAAAATCTCTATTTTTTTTGCATGAGTAGGGTCTACAATACTTACTCTATACTTCGTATATACGAGAAAGTGAAAAAAAAACACACGATCCACATTGCTACGATAACTTTAAGACAGTTTATTTCATCGATTAGATATTAGATCAACATTTAAAATGTTTAAATTGTAATTATATCAGTTTATATAATAGCTTACGACAAATAGTTTTTGGTGTATTTGTACTGCAAATAAAATAAGAGGAAAAAAAAAACAGAATCTTTAACTCTTTTTTTTAAAGAATATTATTTACTTGCCAGTTTCTAAGTCTAAATTAATTGTGTTAGTAAATTTCAGACGAGTCTTTATTAGTTGGTTATTCAAAAACTGGTTATCTTCTAACTGACAAAGCTGGAACTTCCAAATTCTGTCCTCATAGAAATCGTTGTGGTAACTGTGAGCGCCCTGAATCACCTGACCATCCGGGACTTGCAGGGTCATCGGTCCGTCCCAGGTGTTGACCTCTTCTGTCATGTAACAGTTGCTCAATTTCTTGTCTGGGATTTTACAGCACTGGAAGTTGAAACGACGATCTTCGTAGTGGTTGTCATGGTAACTCTCAATGCCGGTCATAACTTTGTCCCGAGGACAGATGAAGTTCACGGGCTTATCAAAAGCATTCACGTATCCTGAAACAAAACAAAATCGTGAGCTTATATATATATATATATATATATATATATATATATATATATATATATATATATATATATATATATATATATATAGAGAGAGAGAGAGAGAGAGAGAGAGAGAGAGAGAGAGGAGAAAGAGAGAGAGAGAGAGATATTTATATAAATTAGCGAAGGTCTGAAATAGTTTACTATAGAAACTCATTATTATCCAGATCTAGAAAGAATTATCTAGAATCTACGGCTAGTTTGCTTAAGTCTAGTTTTTGCGTAACTCTTGCTAGATCTAGATTAGACCTATCCTAGATCTAGATAGATAAATCACAAAGATTTATATCAAGTAATTAAGGACTAAAGTAGTTTAATAAAGAAACTCAAAAGTGTATAATGACTTTAAAATGGATTGTAATTTTAACTAATTAATCTTTGGTTTGACCTAGATTCTAGATCTATAAATAACTTTCTTGGACAGATTGTAGAGCTAGAGAAATTTATTGTAAAACTAAATGAAAAAGACAGTTGAAAATTGATATAAGTGTTGGAACGTAATAAATACAGCAAACGGACGTATTGTTAAAGTTATGGCGGACAAGAAATTAGCTTTATAACGCGTTAAAGATCTGAATAGGCCACGAAATATAGTATTGGAGCCGGCATTCACGTATCCTGAAACAAAACAAAATCGTGAGCTCATATATATATATATATATATATATATATATATATATATATATATATATATATATATATATATATATATATATATATATATATAGATAGATATATATATACTAGCCGTCCCGGCCAGGCCCTGCTCTGGCTTCTGTGAAAAACCATTCTGTTAAAGACCATTACCTGTGTGTTTAGTAATCATCATATACCCGGCATTGCTCACCCATACCACGACCAACCAAAACCAAAACAACAAAACGCAAACATAACGCTAACACAATTACAAATACAAACGAAAACAAAAACCTAGCAACAAACCCAACCACAACCACAAACACCAATACAAACACAAAGAAAAAAACAAACAAAAAAGCAAACGAAAACAAAAACCTAACAACAAACCCAACCACAAACACCAATACCAACAAAAAAAAAAAAAAAACGAAAAAGCAAACGAAAACAAACCAAATCCAAACGCAAAACCAACCAAAAACACAAATACAAACCAAAACAAAAAAACACAAACAAAAACGAAAAAAGAAAGAACGAAAACAAACCAAATCCAAACGCAAAACCAACCAAAAACACAAATACAAACCCAAACAAAAAAAAACACAAACAAAAACGAAAAAAGAAAGAACAAAAACGAACCAAATCAAAACGCAACCACTAACGCAAACCCACCTAAACACAAAGAAAACACTAACGCGAACATAAACGCCCGGGGCGGAATCACCTGTTTTAGCTTAATAAACGACTATAGTACCCCAACTTATTCATAGTTTTTGCACTCACTTAAACGAACGCGCCTGTTTCAATTTAATGAACAATTATAATACTCCAAGCTTATCCGTAAAATACCTACAACATTTGCACTTGATCAATCCCCGCTAATTATGTAATTATTTTTTTCCCAACACCAAAACAAAGTAATTAAAAAGTAAATGCTTTTCAACTAATGCAATGGTTTTATAAAGGGAAGTAATTGTGTTTTGCCTAATTTGTCAAAGGGAAGTAAGCGCTATAGGACTAAAGAAAGACATAATTAGAATTTTTGTAAAAGATGATATTTTTTTTAAAACTTGTGTTTAATGAACATGCCGACAATTATTACTATAATTTGAAAAATGAAAATGATTTCCCAACACTTTTAATAGTAATTTTTTAACTCATAAATTTAGACAAATGCGCACGATAATTGATCTAACACTTAAATCCGTAGAAATGCCAACGACAAACATATGCGTTACAGAATTGAGCTTTATATATTAGATATGTATATATATATATATATATATATATATATATATATATATATATATATATATATATATATATATATATACATATATATATATATATATATATATATATATATATATATATATATATATATATATATATATAATATTATATATATATATATATATTATTATATATATATATATTATATATATATATATATATATATATATATATATATATATATATATATATAATATATATATATATATAAGCTCACGATTTTGTTATATATATATATATATATATATATATATATATATATATATATATATATATATATATATATATATATATATATATATATTATATATATAAGCTCACGATTTTGTTATATATATATATATATATATATATATATATATATATATATATATATATATATATATATATATAGGCCTATATATATATATATATATATATATATATATATATATATATATATATATATATATATATATATATATATATATATATATATATTTATAGTAGCGCACCCGCCCTCTGGAAAGTCTGATGAAATATATAAGAAGGCTTTCATCAATGCTTTACCAATCCTATGTTCTAAGACGCGTAACCAGAGGCGTATCCAGGTTTTCGTTGTAGGGGGAGCGAAAAGAGCACAAAAAGGCGCCGAGTTTTTAACATGTTCTATATACGTGTGTATATATATATATATATATATATATATATATATATATATATATATATATATATATATATATATATATATAATATATATATATATATATATATATATATATATATATATATATATATATATATATATATATATATATATATATATATATATAAACTAGCTGTATGTCATTACTTCGCTATGTTGTAAAATAAATTGAAAGTAATAAGTCTAAGGCATTATCTACCGCACTGTTTAGAACGAACGTAGGTGCCATTGCACTCACCGGAAAGCCCAGGGCTTAGTGCCTTAAACTTAACACCCCTCTTGCCAAGTGGTACTACCGTAGAGGTTTTTTAAACATTGCAATGAATCGTAATGGTTATTTTTAGAATGGCAAACTGATGCAGCTGTTAATACGTGTTGTAAACGTAGACACTACTAGACTAGTACAATAATGCTTAATTGCTGCATGAAAATAAATCTTGTGATTTACACAGATGTGCCGACCAAAAATATTTTTTAACAAATATCATTGTTTAAAACTTTGAGTTTAAAAATTTTCCAAAAAGGCGCCACTTTGCTGAAAATGGCTAGAGGGGGAGCAGCCGCTCCCCCTGCTCCCCCCTGCGTACGCTACTGATCGTAGGCTTAATATGAAATATTAATTTTCAATTTACACATACTTACAATGATGAATATCAAACGTCTGTGTCGCCTCTACGCGTACTCTACATGTCTAGTTTTAGCAAACCAAACTCCTTACCGCTATTCACACACTCAGTTGTCTGTGTTTGGCTAGCGCAGAGAATTTCGAAACGCCTGTCTTCAAAATAGTCGTTGTGTTCACTGTAGATATAGTTGATCACGGAACCATCTGGACATCGGAAATCAAAAGGTTGGTCATATTCGTTGAGGAAGTTATAGGAACACACGGTCGCCAATGCTGTAGACAGCAGCGAGAGTTTGAACAACAACAGCATTGTTGTGGGTCTAGAGGCAGTTTATACAACACGGTCCAGTGCAATCAATTTGATCATGCAACACTGTTAGTTTAACATGTCGTTATAGATTTCGTTGTCAGCTTAATTGATGAGTTTTAGAATGTATGGGGTTGTTTGTGTTCAGTGTTCCCTCTAAGGTGCGCGGTTGCGTGGCCGCGCAGTAGTTTTGAACCTGCCGCGCAGTCATTTTGTAAAATACAAACATCCTTGTATAATACTTTTAGAACACCGCGCACACAAAATACAAGTTGCACACTAGCATTTTCCCCTTAGAGGGAATGTTGTTTGTGTTTCGTTAAGTTTTTACGTAAAGCGTCTATAAGCAATGCCGTCGTTCAAAAGGGCTGTTCAAAAGACGGAAAAAAGTTCATAAAAGTAAACGATCAAATGGCAGAGGCGTAGCTAGGGGATGGCGGGTGGGTCGACCGCTCGGGGGACCGACCTTAATGGGGCGCCCAATTGGCTTGAAAAATAAAAAAGTAAGCTTATTCTGAGCTGCATTACAGTCAAACTTAAGAAAATAGAAAGCTACTTGGTTCTACGGACGGCTTGATCTACATTGCTTGTGTGATACGGGAAAAAACTATTAACGGTGATTGATGTGTGTGTGTGGTGTGTGTGTGTGTGTGAGTGGGGGGGGGGTTCCTTTTTCCCTAAACATGAATAAAGATATAAATATGGGGGGCAATATTAATAGTTCGCCCTGGGCGCCGAAATGGGTTGCTATGCCTCTGTCAGATGGGCAAAGATCTCAGAAGGATTTTCCGGTAGAAAATCAGTATCAAACCAAACACAATTAGACACAAAACTCTATACAACTGTAATTCAGACATAAATCATAAATCAAAATGTATTATAAAAATTTGGTGGATCCAAATTTTTTATTTATATTTGAAAGCATATGGATACGAGATTCTAAAAAAAATATATAAAAAAGTACCTGAAGGTCCATGGGACAAGTGAAGTAGAGTTCACATGTTTCTGTGACCTCGGCATATTCCATACAGAAAAAAAAAGTAAAACTGAAAATGATAAAGATTGGTTGTTTTTTTTAAATTCTCAAAGTAGACGAAGACATTTCTATAAACTCAGCATCTTCGCTTGCTTCTTACGAAAATCGTAAAAAGAGTTTTAACAGATGATAAAAGATTGAATTAATTAGAAAACATCTGGCATCCTGATGAAGATTTCAAATTTCCAGCAAGCGGAGAAAAAAATTTAAAGTTTCAGTACTCGTGGTTATATATGTGGAACTGGGTTGGCTTACTCTAAATGATGGCGCATTTTGCAAATGTTGTGTTTTGTTTAGTTTAAATTATAGTGATGTATGTAGTCAGACTTTCAGTAAACTATAAAAAATTACGTTATTTCTAAACTGGAAAAGTCAATAGACAAATATAATGAAAACCAGCAATGTGATTATCTTAAAACAGCAATTTTAATTTCCAAAAATCAGTCATGGAGAAAAAAAAACCGGGAGTGATCTCCCCTAAACTTTCTCGAATATTCATATAAAACACCAGGGGATGGGAACTCTATTTTCAATAGGCCTACTTAAACTTTTAAAAATAGAATAAAATCTCGTAGAAAAAAGAATTGCACACCAAGTGAACGCCAAAACAAAATGTGCATAATAGTGCGCAATATTATTAGTACTTTATAAATGTACATGCGTTTTTTGAGAAATCGGAAATAGCGTAAATTAGTACTTCCGGTCAACGGAAACTACTCAAAATGTGACAGAAGGAAGACAATTAGATATTTTACTTACATGTGAAATTTCATGTATCTATCTGAAATAATACTCAAGTTATAGGCTTTTGAAAAATTCAAAGTAGAAAAAGTACCACTTCCGGTTATTGGAAATCGCCCAAAAGCTGATACGGATCTACGATTTTGATAACATACTTATATATGACATTTCATCAACCTAACTGTAACGGTACTCAAGTTATCGTGTTTACACACAGACAGACAGACACACACACACACACAGACATACGGATTGCAAAATTATGTTTTTCCGTATCAGTGAGGTGTAAAAACGTCGAGATTTGTAAAAATCTCAATTTTTTTTGCACGATTACAAGACTTTCTCTATACTTCGTATATACGAGAAAGTAAAAAAAACAAGTTAATAAGCTGTAACAGTTTGGTAATACACCAGTGTGTTGCTGACCCAACAATGGGGAAAACTCCTCCTTTTTCCTGCCTAGGTTGTTTTTATGAAACATCTTGTACTTTTAAGTCTCAAAGGTAGTTCGGTTTAATAGACGTGAATGTTAAAAAAAAATCGGAGACAAAATGCCCAAAGTTGACAAAAATACTTTCGAGTTATCCGAAGAAAGTGGGAGCTCTAAGCTATTGTTTGTTTAGCTTATAGGTATATCCAGCACTGATGTCATTTGGTCGTAGAGTTTTTACGTATTAGCCATATTGAAGTAGTTATATGAGTTATACCGCAACTCGTTTAGAAACCAAGATAACAATATGATAGTTATTTCCCTTTGTCTGAACATTTTCAAATCTTCCAGCCAGTAGGAGTTGTTTACCTTCCTACTTGAGTTTCTATGCGCCCCAAGTTGTAATAAGAAATATCTGAATAATGTTGTGGTAAGCCTTCGTGAATAACTGGCTTATATGTGTTTACAAATCTACGACATATTTAATAGACAAGTAAGTATATATATATAATTATATATATAATATATATATATATATATATATTATATAATATATATATATATATATAATATATATATATATATATATATATATATTATATATATATATATATATATATATATATATATATTATATATAATATATATTATATATATATATATATATATATATATGAAACTAGGTGTAAACTAGGCCTACCTGACAAGGGTAACCTAGGCCTACCTGGACGAAAGCAACCTAGGCCTACCTGACGAACAA